GTCATTTGTGGATTTTTGAATGATGGCCATTCTGATTGGTGTGAGGTGATACCTCATTGCAGTTTTGATTTGCATTTCTCTGATAATTAGTTATATTGAGCATTTTTTCATGTGCCTGTTGATCATGTGTATGTCTTCCTTGAAGAATTGCTTGTTTAGGTCTTCTGCCCATTTTTGGATTGTGTTGTTTATTTTTTCTTATTGAGTCATATGAGCTGCTTATAATTCTGGAGATCAAGCCTGTGTCGGTTTCATTTGCAAAAATTTTTTCCCATTCCTTAGGTTTTTTGTTTTCCTTATGGTTTCCTTTGCTCTGCAGAAGCTTGTAAGTTTAATTAGGTCCCATTTGTTTATTCTTGCCTTTATTTCTATTGCTTGAGTAGACTGTTCTAGGAGAACATTTTTGAGATGTATGTCAGATAATATTTTGCCTATATTTTCCTCTAGGAGGTTTATTGTATTTTGTCTTATGTTAAGACTTTGACCCATTTTGAGTTTATTTTTGTGTATGGTGTAAGGGAGTGTTCTAGCTTCACTGTTTTACATGCTGCTGTCCAGTTTTCCCAACACCATTTGCTGGAGAGACTGTCTTTATTCCATTGTATATTCTTGCCTCCTTTGTCGAAGATTAGTTGACCAAAAGTTTGTGGGTTCATTTCTGGGCTCTCTATTCTGTTCCATTGGTCTATATGTCTGTTTTGGTACCAATACTATGCTGTCTTGATGACTGTAGCTCTACAGTATTGTCTGAAGTCTGTGAGAGTTATTCCTCCAGCCTCTTTCTTTCTCTTCAGTAATGCTTTGGCAATTCTAGGTCTTTGGTGGTTCCATATAAATTTTATTATGATTTGTTCTAGTTCTGTGAAATATGTCCTGGGTAATTGGATAGGGATTGCATTAAATCTGTAGATGGCCTTGGGCAGTGTGACCATTTTAACAATATTGATTCTTCCAATCCAAGAACATGGGATATCTTTCCAATTTTTTAAAGTCTTCTTTAATTACCTTCAGACAAAATAGACTTTAAAACAAAGGCCATAAAGAAATATAAAGTAGGACATTTTATAATGATTAAAGGAGTGATACAAGATGAGGATATTACAGTCATTAACATATATGCACCCAATATAGGAGTACCTAAGTACATAAAACAATTACTAACAGAGATAAAGGGGGATATTGATGGGAACACAATCATAGTTGGAGATTTTAACACCACATTAACATGACTAGACAGACCTTCCAGACAGAAAATAAATAAGGCAACAGAGAAATTAAATAATACAATAGAAAAATTAGAGTTGGTGGACATTTTCAGAGCATTACACCCCCCCAAAATAGGATATACATTCTTTTCAAGTGCACATGGAACATTTTCTAGGATTGATCATGTACTTGGGCACAAAAGAAGCCTCATCAATTTTAAGAAGATAGAAATTACCTCAAGCATCTTTACTGACCACAATGCCATGAAACTAGAAATCAACAACAGAGAAACAAAGGAGAAAAAAAAAAGAAAGCATGGAGATTAAACAATATGCTATTAAAAAAACAATCGGTCAATGATGAAATCAAAGTTGAAATTAAAAAATACCCTGAGACAGATCAAAATGAAAGCACAACCACACAAAATTTATGGGACACAGCAAAGGTAGTGCTAAGAGGGAAGTTTATAGCGATACAGGCCTTCCTGCATTTTGTTTTAATCCATAATATAAAGTACACACTTCAAAGTTCAGCCCAACCTACTGTAAATTGGTTGGGCGGGACAGGAAATGTGTTTGGATTGTGAGTCATGCACTTGGTTTAAACTCTGGTTTCGTTTCAGCGAGAGTCAATCATGAAGACTGTGAAAGGCTTCTGCGTCCTTTTCATGCTGCATCTGGGTTTCTTTGACTCTGGAAGGACTGGGAAAGTACTTGTATGGCCTGCAGATTTTAGTCATTGGATTAATATAAAAGTGATTCTGGAAGAACTCCACCATCGTGGGCACGAGATAACTGTTCTGGTACCTTCACCAAGTCTCCTGCTTGATCATAGCAAGATTCCCTTTAATGTGGAGATCTTCCAACTTCCAGTAACTAAAGAAACTCTCAGGGAAGAACTCGATACCAATATCTATACAGTTTCTTTTGAACTACCAAAACTATCCTGGTGGGACATGCTAATAAGATCTAGAGAAATGATAAACAATTTTTTAGCAATACCCAAAAGACTATGTGATAGTGTTATTTCAAATAAGGATTTGCTCAGCAGACTACAGGCAGCTAAGTTTGATATCTGTTTGGCTGACTCTTTAAACTTTTGTGGGGAGTTGGTGGCTGAGATCCTCGATATTCCATTTATATACTCTTTACGGTGTTCCATTGGGAATACCATTGAGAGACTGTGTGCTGGGCTTCCGATGCCTTCTTCATATGTTCCAGGCATTGCATCAAGACTGACAGACAACATGACTTTTATACAGAGGCTGAAGAATTGGTTGTTGTATACAATGGGTGATATAATCAATTTATATTATATATTTCCAGAATGGGATGCATATTACAGCAAAGTTTTAGGTAAGAAAAATTTGCATGTAATAAGGATTCTTATTTCATATGTTAAATGAAATACTTCTCTGACTGTATGAAAATGTACAAAAGATATTTTTAAGGGTGGATTCAAACTCTTGCCCCTAAACAGTTTTCAATGAAAAAAAATGGTAATTCTTTTTTTTTTCTTTTTATGTTTTGTTTTCAAAGATTGAGTAATGAAAATATTCCAGAGAAGGAATATTCTCTATATTAATGCATAAGTCCTGCTTGATGCTACTAAGTTTTTCAGGGTATCTGGAAAACCCAAATCTGACAGTGTGTTTAATTCCCATAACTTTGGACTACTCTCTTATTTACTTCCTCTTTTATACACCTTGTTTTCTTTTTTATTTACTTCCTGTTTCTCAGACTTACTGTTTGCATCTTATCTGGAGTCTTTTGCAGTTCCATAGAGTTTAAAATTTAATTTCCTTGTTACTGATTTTAGAAGATATATCTCTTATACTCTATCATTCCTAAAAATTGTGTTTATTTCTAAAATTTTTAAAATGTGTTTGTACTTCTGATGTATTGTTCTGTATAGCCATTTCCCTTTTTTGTTTTTTGAGGTATCTGTTCTAAATCCCTCTGTGAAATTATTTTTTCAACAACTCACAAACAATACGAGTGCTTCTGATGAACTATGCTGCCCAGGAATATGCCTTATGTTCAAAATGGCATCTGTCATAATCAAGGTTGACAAATTGCACTGAGACATTTCCTGGGCATTCTGTAAGAGAAGAAGGTGCTTTTATCTCTAGACTTGACCCTAAAGAAAGTTATATGCAAAAACTGCTGTACCCATCAGTCACCCTTGTTCAGAGTCCAAGATGCAAATGGCAAAAATGAGAAATGGTAATTTAAAATCTCATCCTGGTGACATTTTCTGAGTAGTAGATAAAGCAGTGACTGATTTATAGCTGGATCAAGGTCATTTGTTTGTTTCTGATTCCAGCAGTTTGGTACTCAGTTGTGGAACCTATTTCATAGTGAAACGTTACTGGTAGGACATAGTGATCATGGTCTCTGATTCTTTCCTAGCTGTTTTTACCTAAGAATATTTGGAGGGGTTTGTAAATCAATAATCTGAGAAAGAAGAATAAAGGCTTGATAAATAGAAGAAACATCTTTCTTTACTCTCATAAATTTAAAAATACTATAAGATAGATCATTATTTGCCTATTCAGAATGTAAGATCTTCATTATAAAATGTATTTAAAGCTTTTCAAATTTTTAAAATATAACTCATAGTTTATACAGTTATTAACTGAACCATGTCATAGATACATTTAAATAATTGAGAAGGAAACCAGTAAGACAGCATTTCTTTCAAAAAACTACTTGAGGAACTATTTCTAAACATTTTGGAGAAAAAAGAAATGTTAGGGTAATAGTGCTAAGTTAGACCCCAAAATGATCAAAATCCTATAGTGCAATAATGTCATAATTTGGGGGATTGTCTTTCTACCACACAGAAATGTACAAATCTACATTCAAATTCAAAGTACCTGAACTCAACATCCACAGTAAAATGATTAAATGACAAAGTAAAACACATGCACATTTTCCTAAAGATGTAAATAATCTTCCAATCATTAATTCCTCAACAATGCCCAAGCATAGTATTTAAAATGGCATATGTTTTTGGAAATTTGGGAAATGCTTTCCCAAGTTTGAGATACTGTCTCACAATTTCTTCATGCAGATCAAGCATTTCTTTTAAACTCTCATACTAAATTCTCTTCATTTCAATCCATTAAACATAACAGATTACTAACCTAGGAGTGCAGATTTAACAACAAAAAGATATTGATATGAAAGAAAGTGAAGCAACCATATGTTCCTCAAATTCTACTCCTAGGTTTATAACCAAGAAAAATGAACACGTGTCCACACAAAACATATACATGATTGCTCGTAGAGCATTATCCACAGTACCCTAATATGGAAACAATCCAAATGGTCATCAACTGATGAGTGGATAAACAAAATGAAGTATAGCCAAACAAAAGTATTACTCAGTAATAAAAGGTAAGGAAGTACTGATACACACTACCACAGGGATGAACCTTGAAAACATTATGTTAAGGAAAAGAAGGCAGCACAAAAGACCACGTAGTGTATACTTTTATTTACATTAAATGAAATAAGATTACTTTGGAATAGTCAAATAAAGAAAGAAGCAGATTAGTGGTTGTCAGGGGCTGGGAAGAGGGGGAAATGGAGAATGACTACCAATGGACATGGGGTCTCTATGAGGAGTAATAAAAATTTGTAAAATATACTAGTGGACATGGTTTCACAACTTTATAAATATACTAAAAGCTACTCAGTTGTGTATTTAAAGGAATTGTGTGTTTTTATAAATTCTATCTTAATAAACCTGTCAAAAGATGGTGTGAGAATGAAGCATCACACAATGGGAATAAGATTATACCCAAAGCTGACACCAGTAAGCCACTGAAATGGGATATGCACTGAGTATGAGCTGGATTTTGAATACCGTTGTCATTATCAGAATCAAACACTTAAATTACTGAGATTCGCTTGTGATCTCTTACACAGATAGATTGTCCTGGTCAGTTCAAAATCCCTCACATTTCCTAATCAGAACTTAAGCCCACTCAGAACATCAAGAATATTCAAAAAGCCATGTGATAGGAAAACATAAAGCTACAGAGTCTTCATATTAGTGATACTGAATATGTATTTCAAAAGGAAGCCAATACTCTGGATAAGGTTCCTTATACCACAGTAATTGAATAGAATTCAGAAATGAAGCTTGGACTCCAAAGAGAAATTATTTACTTCTCAGTCACTACTTTGAGTTCTTAAGCTGTTAACTGTCACTTCGTTGCCATTCAGTTCAAAGGTACACTTTTATTCCTGTTAGTCAGTTAAATGTATCAAAATACTACATATTTCACCACCAGCTTATTTAACACTGCTATATCTTCCCCAAAGAGGAGAAAAGGCTTGTCCAACAGGAACTTCCATTTTGTATGCCAAAGGAGTAAATCACTTAAAAACAATTCCTTTTAATAATTCATTCCCAATACGATGTAATTAGTTGTGACAGCACACTGGAAAACACTAGGGGAAAAGACGGATTCAGTAAAAAAGTTTTTTTTTAAGAAACCAGAGGTTCTTGGAGCAACAAAAATGCAATAAACTGGAGAAGAGGGTGTTCGAGAAGAGGAGGAGACCCGACCATAGAAGTTTGAAGGATCACTGCCTGAGTTTCTTGTTCCTGGCTCGGAGCAGGTGTCCTTGCTGAGCGCGGAGTGGGGCTCAGGCTTAGCTCAAGCAGAAGACTCTGCTGGCAAAGATGAAGCAGCAGGCTTTTGGCTTTGTTCCATGCTTAAATTGGTCTTTGGTTATTGATAATCTCACTATTTGTACTCTTGGGGAAAAGGCCAATGGATTTCACAGAGGTGACATCGGGCCAATATCTTCAAAGATTTCTCTTAGAAAAGTAGATGGTGAAACATTTCCCTTATAACATGTCAGCTTGTTTCCTCTCTATCATCCTTCATTTTTATTCAGGAAAACCTACCACATTATGTGAGACTGTGGGGAAAGCTGAAATGTGGTTGATTCGAACTTACTGGGATTTTGAATTTCCTCAACCGTACTTACCTAATGTTGAATTTGTTGGAGGACTGCACTGCAAGCCTGCGAAGCCCCTACCGAAGGTACTCGAATGTGCTGACTTTGCCTGTTTGAGAATTTATCTGCTGAAATGATTTGCAGTTTCTTATTGATAGTATTTGATCTGCCAACTGAAAACACATGCACAGGAATTAGCGGCCATGACTCTCTTACACTAGTAGACTGCAATCAGCAGGTCAGTAGCCTTCCTTTGTATTATGTGTTATTATCTGGCTGAAGTAGTCCCTGTATTTCCTTTTTCATACTTCATTAAGTCTTTATGAACATGTATATTCTACAGAAATGATAAAATATTTCCCAGTATCTCAACAATACCATTCTCCCATTGAAACTAAGTTTAAAGAGAGTGATAACTTTACATGTTAAGTCAATCTGTCTATAAACATAGTGTAATGATTAATTTTATGTGTCAACTTCCCTGGGCCTGGTACCCAGCTTTAGGCAAACATCACTATGGAAGTTTCTGTGAGGGTGTTTTTAGATGACCTTAACATTTAAATATGTGGGCCTTGAGTAAAGTAAATTGCTCTGCATTTGTGGGTGAGCCTCATCCAATGAGTTGAAGAACTGAATAGAAAAGTCTGAACTCTCCCATGCAAAACAGAGTTCTGCCAGTAGATGGCTTTCAGACTTAACCTACAACAGGGGCTCTTCTCTGAGTCTTCAGTCTGATGGCCTATTCTGTGGATTATAATTTGCTGGCCTCCATAATTAGGTGAATTAATTACTTAAAATAAATCTCTTCCCTGTCTTCAGTGTGTCTCACACTTTTTTTTTGTCTTATTTGGTTGACTTAGCTTAGTTAGTAGCTAAACATAAAAGGAAAAGACTTCTTTTTTCTTCAGTATGATTAAATATGCTATTTTTATCTTGGATTCCAAGCCAAATTTTTCTATAATATTACTATTATCCCCAAAGTGTGCATTATAAGTATTTCTGCTTTACTTACCTGGTCAGGAGTTATATGTCTACTTCATGTCTTGATGTGTTTGTGGAAGCTTATATAATGTATAAATATATCCAAATTAAAGAAAACTGAAATTCAAATTTAGAATAGAGTAAATTATACCAAAAGGATATCATTATACTGACCATGATTCAGCAGAAAAAAGAATGATAATCTTATTATCATCCAAGGCTAAATAAGAAATGAAGCCCCAGAACTATTTAACTTAAATGCTTAATTTGATGAGCATTCTGAAGAGACTCTTGGAAAGCAATAGAGAGTAGTGAATATAGTCATTCACTTTATAAACAACAAGCTTAATTTAGCTACTGCTTTATAGCCTTCAACAAATTATTTTACCTCTCTGAGGTAGCTTTTCCATCTGCAAATGTATACATATATCTTAAGATCACCATCTAAGTTAAATGATACATATAAAAAGCTCAACACATGGCAGAAGATAACATGTAGTCAATGATTTGTAAACAGAAAAACACACACCTCAGAAATGTCTAGAACATAGTAGAAGGGAGCTTCCAATTTAAATATCTTTTAAAATCATTTATTTTATACAACTTTTAAAAATAACTTTCCATTTATAGTTATTGCAAGATATTGGCTTTTTTCCCCCATGTTGTACAATTAAATCATTGTTAATTTGCCTAATAACTAATGATTTCAGTTTCTATATTTCATGCTCTGAAATGGTTAACATATGAAAAGACAAAATTATTCTAATAATTCAGACACATTGAGAAAGCTGTGTGACTAACTTACTCTTGTAAGGGGAAACTTTCATATTATAAAGACTGTTTTCTTCACAGGAGTTAGAAGAGTTTGTCCAAAGCTCTGGAGAAGATGGAGTTGTGGTGTTTAGTCTGGGCTCAATGGTCAAAAATCTTACAGAAGAAAAGGCTAATATGATTGCATCAGCCCTTGCCGAGATTCCACAGAAGGTCAGATGCTTTTATTTTTGAGGGGCAGCTATTTCAAAAATCTATGAGGATCTCCTTAAAAGTGCACTTTTAAAATGTAGGAAAAGGTATTGGTGTTATTAGTGTCAACTGAACTGAACTGTAAATTAGAAGTCTTAAATGTTAAAAGAGGATATTTTATGGCTACCTTGCTTTAAACATGGTACTAATAACAGGAAAACATATTGCTGTATTTTCTTTAAAGAATGGGATAAAGCTTAAACCAAGCCATTCCTATTAAACAATTGATCAGCTTTATGTGCTGGTTTTAACGCTTCCATGTAACCTAACCTTCTTTTTGTGTTATTTATTTTTTAAGTCTGAGGCATATACACAAGCTACAAATAACATATCAGAGAATACAGGAAGAGACACTCAAAATTATACCATTGATTCACAGGCTGTCTTGGAAGTATATTTTCTTTTAATTAATGGTTTTGGACCAGGCCCTGGCTGAACTTGGAACTGACAGCTTAGATTCCAGGAATACTCCTAAATAATGATTCTTCTATCTAAACAGTTAAAGATTTTAGTAATACTGTAAAAGATTTATGCAGTTCACTCTATGGCATTCCCACAAACTACGCATTTTTTTTATTGATACCATCCTAGGTTATAACTGAGTGATGTGGTTCTTAAACTACCAGGGACATATTTTATTTTGTAGCTTTAGATAAAATAGCTAAAATTATATGTGATTTTAAGTTCCAAAAGATCATGACAATTTTTGTGCACATAACCAAATTACTTTCAAAAAATGTTTTGTGGAAGCAATACTCATTTAAACATCTCATCTAAATGGCATCTTCATGAAAATATTAAAATTTCAATTGTATTAAAATACAATGCTTAAGGGTGACATCAAGGTAGAGTCAAAAGCACCAAGATCTGACCGTCTACCTCAACAACAATTGTCCTAGCAGAAGCTGTCTGAACTATGTTGGAAATATGGACTCTATCTGAGCACTTGAAATATTTAGGGGAGAGCCTGACTAGTAGATTGTGGTTAATTTTTTTTGTCAATTTCAGCTCCTTAGAATAGCAGTAGCTTCGAAGTCTCCATCACCCAGCCCCACTGCAGCCAACATGCCTTTCTCAATAATATAAAGAAAACACACAAAAATAATTATTAAGTTATGTAATTAGGAACACAGTGTATAAACATGGAATTGATGGCATAAATAACTGAAAGAGGTGGATGGAGCTAAGCTATAAAGAAGCAGAGTTTTTGTATGCTTTAACTTTAACAATAGATCAAAAAATAAATCACAAGAGTATTAGAAAATATTTTAAAATAAATGCAAACATTAACCAAAAAAAGAGATGCACAGAAAGCAAGGCTAAGAGGTATTTTTAAAATTAAACTATTGTTGATTTAACAATACTGTGCTATTTTCAGGCATCCACCAAAATGATTAGGTTATATATATATATCCATATTCTTTTGATTCTATTCCATTACAATCTATTACAAGATATTGAATATAGTTCCTTGCACTACAGAATAAATCTTTGCTGTTTATCTGTTTGTATACGGCAGTGGGTATCTCTTAATCCCATGGTCCCAATTTATCCCTATCACTCCCTTTCCACTTTGATATCCATAAGTTTCTTTCTGTGTCTGAGTCTCTTTCCATTTTGTAAATAAGTTCACATATACTATTTTTTTAGATTCAACATATAAGTGATACCGTATAATATGTGCCTTTCTGTGTATCACTTACTTCACTTACTATGATAGTCTCTAGATTCATCCATGTTGCTGCAAAGGGCATTATTTCATTTTTTATGGCTGAGTAATATTCCATTGTGTATAGATATACCACATCTTCTTTATCCAGTCATGTCAATGGACATTTAGGTTGTTTTCATGTCTCAGCTATTATAAGTAGCGCTGTTATCAACATTGGGGTTCATGTATCTTTTCAAATTAGTTTTCTCTGTATATATGCCCAGGAGTGGGATTATTGGATCTTATGGTAAGAGTTTTCAGTTTTTTAAGGAACCTTCATAGTGTTTTCCATAATGGCTGCACTAATTTACATTCCTTCCAACAGTGCAGGAAAGTTCCCTTTTCTCCACACCCTTTCCAGAATTTATTTGTAGATATTTTAATAATGGTCATTTTGACTCTGGTGAGGTGATACTACATTGTAGTTTTGATGTGCATTTCTCCAATAATTAGTGATCTTGAGCAGTCTTTTCATGTGCCTGTTGGCCATCTGTATGTTCTCTTTGAAGAAATGTCTGTTTAGGTCTTCTGTCCAGTTTTGATTGGGTAGTTAGTTTTTTTGTTATTGAGTTGTATGAGCTGTTTGTGTATTTTCCAAATTAAGCCTTTGTTGATCACATTATTTACAAATATTTTCTCCCATTCTGTAGGTTGGCTTTTTGTTTTTTATGGTTTCTATTGCTGTGAAAAAGCTTTAAGTTAGATTAGATCTCATTTGTTTATTTTTGTAAACAAATTGGGAGATTAAGCACCCAGTTTTGTAGACACAAACAAACAAGTATCTTGGGTTGAGAACTGCAGTAGCATGGCAAGGACCGTATGTACTGGTCATTCTCTGTACTGTAGGTCTGCAGGCCAGCTCCCACAATCTCCTCTCCAGCCTCTGAAGCCCAGTATTTGTCCTGGCAGACTTCCTAGCTGGTGAAGGAGTTTTCTAGGATGAGGGAACCCTCCTCTTTCAGAGTTCCCTCCCAGGGGTGCAAGTCCCATCCTGATTCTTCTTCATTTTTCCTTTGTCCTACCTGGTAACATGAGGATAATTCTTATAACTTTGTTTGTATGAGATCTCTTGCAAGATTTCAGTAGGTGTTCTGTGAGAATTGTTCCACATGTAGATGTATTTCTGATATATTTGTGGAAAGAGGTAAGTTCCACACCCCTCTCCTCTGCCACCTTCTGTTGCTCAGAAGGAAATTTATAGCTGTAAGTCCCTACACTGAAAAAGAAGAAAGATATTGTAAAATCAATAACCTAATATTATATCTCAAAAAGTATAAAAAGAAGGCAAATGAAACCCAAACCTTGCAGAAGGAAGCAATGCAGATTAGAGTAAAATAAACAAAACAAAACAAAAAGGTTTAAAAAAAAAAACAGAGAAAAATCAATAAAACCAAAAGCTGGTTTTTAGAAAAGGTCAGCAAAATCATCAAAACTTTAGCTAAATTGGCAAAGAGGAAAAAAAAGAGTAGATGCAAACAATTAAAATGAGAAATGAACTTAGGGAGAGGATGAATGGTTTTACATAGGATTGTAAAAGGTTATGATGGAAGTGTGACCAAGATAGCAGAGGAGGAAGACCTTCATCTCAACTCTTCCCTCAGGCACATCAAAATATCAAGAATTTCCAGAGCATCTATTTATGAGAAAAATGAGACAACTAGCAGAAAAGAGCTGATAGCCACATGATCCAAGAATGAAATTAGACCCATATCTTACACTACATTCAAAAATTAACTCAAAATAGATCAGAGACTTAAACTTTAGAGGTACAACTGCAACACTTCTACAAGAAAATTCTAGAGAAAAATTTCATCACATTGGATTGTGCTATGATTTCAATAGGTATGACACAAAAAGCACAAGCAAGAAAACAAATCGATTGAACTACATCAATTGAAGAAATTTTGTACATCAGAAGACATTTTGAAATATAACGTATAGATTGGGAGAAAACCTTTGCAAATCATGTATCTGATAAAGAATTAATGTGCTCAATTTATAAAGAACTCCTACAACTCAACAACAACAATAAAATCCCAACTGAAAAAATGGGAAAGTCCTTGAATAGATATTTCTCTAACAAAGAAATGCAAATAGCTAATGATACATAAAAAATGCTCCACATCATTGATCATTAGGGAAATGCAAATCAAAAGCACAAAGAGATACCACTTCAGTCCTTAGGATAGCTATTATTTTTTTAAAGGAAATTAACAAGTGTTAGTTAGAATATGGAGGAATGTGACCTCACGCATTGCTGGTTGGAGTGCAAAATGATGCATCTGCTGTGGAAAACATTTTTGTGATACATTGGAAAGTTAAACATAGAGCTATCACATGACTCATTAATTTCAATCCTGACTATATATCCAAAGGAATTGAAATCAGGGACTCAAACAGATGTTTGTACACCAAAGGTCACAGCAACATCATTTACAAAAGAAAAATGAATGGATAAAGATAATGTGATATATACACAATGAAATATTATTCAGCCTTAAGAAGACAGAAAATGCTAATGTGTTATGACATATAAGAACCTTGAAGACATAATATGAAGTGAAATAATGCTAAGTCAGAAAAGGACAAATTCTGTATGATTCCACTTATATGTGGTACCTAGAGTAGTCAAGTTCATAGAGATAGAAGGAAGAATAAAGACTACCGGGGACTGGGGAACTGGAGGGAACAGGGGAATTGCTTAGTGATACAGCATTTATGTTTGGGATGGTGAAAACATTTGTGCTATAGATAGTTCTTGTGGTTACACAACATTGTGGATGTTCTTAATGCCACTAAATTCTATGCTTACAATACTTCAAAATGCTAAATATCTTTATGTACATTTTACTATAATAAAAAAGGCAATGCTTGCTTCTATGTTACTGCAAAATATATAGCAAAGGTCAGCAAAGGTGAAAGAACTAATAATTTCTTAGTGAGAAAGGTAATATCCTTTCCCTTTGCCTCTGAAAACTTTGTTTCAAAAATCCCCTTTATAAGAACAGTCTACTAATAACAATATGTAGTTGTCTCAGATATAGATTGTCTTCCTCTACTAAATTCGAATCAGTCTAATTATATTAGATACATTAGGATTGTTGCAAGCACTTGAAAACATGGTTGTAGCATCCACAGTTTAGAAACATTCATTACGTAATCACTTCAGGCCTCAGTGTGCTCATCTATTACCTGGAGACATCGAACTAGATTAATTCTAAGTTAACTGCCTCCTTCTGACAGGATGTGATTCTAAAAGTTTTCTAATAGAGTAAAGGCATTTATCTTAACAGGTTCTGTGGAGATACACAGGAAAGAAACCAGATACACTGGGAGCCAATACCCAGCTATATGAATGGATTCCACAGAATGACCTTCTTGGTAAGACCAGAGAGAAAAAACATTAAACTGAGTTGAGTTTACTCATTAACAAATAAATTCAAGAAATTTGTCTTCAAAATAAGGAAAAAAACCCAAAGCCCTTAATGTCTTTTTCACATTTCTTCTGGAACTTGTTAAAGAAAAATTATTCATGATTCCTGTTAAAGATTGTAAGGCACACTTTAAGACCATCATGATACGTTTAGGTCCTACTGCAATGGACCTTGACAGTGAGACAGAGAAACTGGACTTGACTCGGAATGAAAAAGAGAAAAGTTGTAAATTAATAGCCAAAATGCTGAATATTATATTATGTCACTGCATGAAAATTTACTATGAGGAAACAAGAGTGACAAAGGGGACTCTGGCAAAACTGACCTAATCTGACTCTTGCTGATGGCAGGCTAACATGATCAGATATCACTTGGGGGATGATGAAGAATGAGGCAACAGCTATAAGGGTGACTGGACATCAGGGATGGGGAAGTCTAGCAAAATAGACTTAATAGGGTTCTTGCTAAAATTGGGCAACGTAGAGATAAACACATAAGCCCCCAAATCAGGGCCTGGTTGGGAAGAGGATTCTGAGGAACCTGACTAGAGTTTTGATTACTAATAGAATTTTTGTCAAGTTCCAACATAAGTAAGGAATTTATAATTCTCCCATTTATAATACAACTTCTCCCGCCTCAGAATCAGAGTCAGTATACTTTAGACCTTGACTCTCACTAACTTCTGTATAGAATATTGTAGAACCTCTTGAATCTCTGTATCCATTCCCTCCCATCTCTCTTCTCTTCTCCCCACAATAACTATTTGAAAAAATTCTGACAATCCCTTTCACCACCTATGATATTATTCACGGTTCCATATTACCATAACATCATGTGCAAAATCCTGTGTTCTTAGAGTACCTCAGGAGCTTGCCATGATCTACATTTTCTAGCCTCTTATGCCAACATTCTCATATTAAAACTCTGCACATCTCAGCTCTTCTTCCCCATCCACACAAGCATTTGTTTTCTGAAATCCCTTCATTCCTTTTTACCATTGTATTCGAAGCACCAACAACTTTTCCATGGCAACCACTCTCCATCAGTTGACTCTGCACAAACCTTCAGGGTTTTGTGGAATGACTTAATTGCTAGAATCATTCATTGCTGCTCAGCCTGGAATCACTGTCACTTTCTTTAGAGCCTGTAGAAATGTGTACAAGGCCTTGTGGCACAGAATTGTGTGGGAAATGCTGCCTAACTGAATTAGTGATTTATACAGGTGTCATGATTTTCTGTTTCTGAAATTCTTACAACTTAGAATAGCGATATTTATATATTTTCTCTTTTTAGGCCATCCTAAAACCAGGGCTTTTATCACTCACAGTGGAACCAATGGGATCTATGAAGCTATTTACCATGGGGTGCCTATGGTGGGAATCCCCTTGTTTGGTGATCAGCATGATAATATTGTTCGTGTAAAAGTCAAAGGGGCAGCTGTTGAAGTTGATTTGCACACAATGACAAGTTCTGATCTGCTGAATGCTTTGAAGGAGGTTATTAACAACCCTTTGTAAGTATAGAATATATCCTTTTCTGAGAATCATCCTGTTTTTTAAAAGGAGTAAACTGTTTCAGTTTTTAAATTGATTACTTTTACACAATCACCAGGACATAAATAATATCAAATATGATTGTCTTACACTTCTTAATTTTTATGAAGAAATTTTCATACCTACTGTTACTGGGCAATGGATTACAATCTCAAAAAATTAGTAAACATATTTAAAAAAATAAGCTACTGTTACAGAGACACAAGTCTTTTTATTAATGATATTATTATTCATTTCTTAAAATTGTAGATATAATCACTAAAAGGATTTATGCAATATGACAAAACACACAGAAATAAAAATATAAAATTAGCTCCTCTCATGCAGTTATAACCAAATCCAGTTCAGAAATTTTACTTCAGATATTTCCTTGTGCTAATTTATAAATAGAAAAAAAAAGACAGAAATAATTGTATGAAAATTGGATTATGCTACTTTTTAATTAAAGATACCCCAATTTGTGTATTTTAATTTAAAGCAAAATTAAGATAGTGAATTAAAACTAAGAGATCCAAATGGAGACATAGACGATGGTAGCCTCCCTGTCCCCTGGCAAAGATCAACATTAGACAGCTATCTATGAACAAAAACAGCTCTCGGAGAGTTCTAAACTCCATATGAGAAATTTTAGAAACACTGTGGAGCAGAAAACCTGAGAATAGTCACCTAAGGACAGAATGAAGACAGTTTTGTTTTGATTGCATCATCCCATCCCCAAGCCATCATAGCTCATGTCCAAGAGAGATCTTTCCAAGTAGAAAGAGTTTCTTACCAGGAAAGAAATGTGGACTAGACTCTAAAGCAGCTTGGGACATAGAAATAGAAAAAACAATCCTAAATTTGCATGAAGCCACAAAAGATCCCAAATAGCCAAAGCAGTCCTAAGAAAGAAGAACAAAGCTGAGACGTCCCATTTCCTGATTTAAACTATGCTATAAAGAATACTAATTTTAACAGTATGGTATTGGCATAAAAATAGACACAGAGAGCAATGGACAGGATTGAGAGGCCAAAAATAATCTCACGCATATAAGGTTAAAAATATTTAACAAAACAGCCAGGAATACTCACTCAACAGGAAAGGGGTAGTCTCTTCAATAAATGGTGCTGGAGAAACTGGATAATCACATAAAGGAAAATGAAATGGGACTCCTATCTAACATCACTTGCAAAAATTAACTGGATATGTACTGAAGACGTAAGACCGGAAACCACAAAAATGTCCTAGAAGAAAACATAGGGGGAAAGCTCCTTGAACTCTTTGCAATAATATTTGGAAATGACACTAACAGCACAAGGAACAAAAATAAAAATCAACAAATGAGTCTAGATCAAATTTACCACTTCTGCACAGCAAAAGAAGTGATCTACAAAATGGAAATTCTGTCATTTGTGACAACTATGCTAAGTGAAATCAGCCTGAAAGAGAAAGACATATACTGAATATCACTTATATGTGTAATCTAAAGGGACAAACTCAAAGAACTAGAGAGCAGAGTGGTATATACCAGGGCCTAGGAGTTCAGGGAGTGGAGAGATTTGGTCAAAGAGTCAAACTTTCTATAACAAAATGAATACCTTCTGCTGAACTTTGTACAACATAGATTAGCTGTGATCATAACTTCTCAACATGAATGATTACATTTATCATGATATTGTAGTTCAAATAAAGCAAATAAATATATTTGTTGGAAAAAAATATTAAAATTTTAAATATTGCAATGGTTTGTCTACATATTACGTTCATATCAAATAAATTCTTACTAAAAATTCCATATAAATCTTTGAGCAAATATTGACATTATAGGTTAAAATACTTCCAATTTTGGCCAATATTGAAAGACTTTCCAATATGAACTCACTTCTCAACTTCACATTTATGTCTCTTAAATATCATATCTTAATTTTTGTTTGATGTATTATAATTATAACATTATAAAGGCTTATATAATACACATGTTGTCTAGACTACAATGTCCAATATTGTTTAGCCTTAGTTTTGTATTTATGTAGATTTATTGACGCACTTTGTGTTCTATAAAGGTATTTCTATAACTGACGGCTTTTGTTCTTGCTAATTTTTTACCTGCAAATGCTTTATTTTGATCTGTGGAGCTTATGTTGTTGTTGCTTTCTTGTTTACCTGCGATATATCCCGAATAGTTATTCCTTAAAATATTGTGTATTAAGAAAGGCTTGCCTTGCTTTTTTCAAAACAAACGGCAACAGGGATTTATACAATAATTTTTTGGCTGACATTGCTCCTCAGACTTTCTCTATGCTGTTCCACAGTTTAGGACAATGAAATGCTTTGTATTTTCCTTTAACGATGACTACAGTTTAGTGTGGGAGAATGAACTCCCTCCTTCACCTTCTTCAGAAATTTGAGAAAATGCTTCTTCTAGGTCAGCTATCCAAAACCTAAAACAAAACCCTGGCTAGGTCTTTTGTCCCTTTACAGAAGGTAGAGGGTTCGTGTTCTGGCTCTTGCCATTTCCCATCTCACCACTGGCGCTTGCATCCCTCTGTAGCCTGAAGCAAAGATTCCAGCAACTACTCACTCTAGGGACCTACTACTTGCCCGTTGGGTGACATTAAGTTTTCTTATATTTTCAACTAAAATGTCAGGGCCATGAAGATCACGGACGGAAACCATTACCTGATGCTGTTGAACACTAGCTTCTTGTTAACACCAGCACTCCAGACCAAACCTGGGGACGGTGGAGGGGTGGGGGAAGGGTTCCTCTCTCACAGACCTGCCCTCAGTGCTGCATCCTGTCACTATCATGTTCTCCATACCACCCCCTCAGCAAATGAGGGTAAAACGCTGTTTTCATATTCCTATATCTGAACTTTGAAAATGCTATTTCCAATAGAAGTTCTTTTCTCCCCTAACTCCAATTGTTATTTCCACTATGAAGCATCCAAAAAATTCTAGCTGATAGACCACTATGTAGAAATATTTCAAGAGGAAACAAACTTATATACTTTGGTGCTCTTGGAGATGTTATTTATGACATCATTTATTATACAACTATTTAAAACACTTTTAATAATATATAACATAATTTTAGGTATACCACATCCTTAATGGATTTTTCAAGTTGTTATCCATATATTCAATTTTCAGCTATAAAGAGAATGCTATGAAGTTATCAAGAATCCACCACGATCAGCCAGTGAAGCCCCTGGACCGAGCAGTCTTCTGGATCGAGTTTGTCATGCGTCACAAAGGAGCCAAGCACCTACGCCCAGCCCTCCACAACCTTTCCTGGTACCAGCACCACTCTTTGGATGTGATTGGGTTCCTGCTGGCCTGTGTGGCAACTACTATATTTTTGGTCACTAAATGTTGCCTGTTTTGTTGCTCGAAGTTTGGTAAAACCACAAAGAAGAAAAAGAGAGAATAGGATTTGGTTTTTCTGTTCAGTTTTTTTGTTTGTTTGTTTTTTTAACAAGTTGGGTGGAAACCTTGGTGGGGCCCATCCAAATCAATCCATCCGCTGACTTGAACTGATTGCTCTCCTACTCTTCAGGGTTCTTGTCCATTTCTCAGCTTATCAAATCAAAGATCAAAGACTCACCCCCGAAATGTGCCACATGATTCACAATTAAAGTTTCAAATTCTTTCCCAAAAATCTATTCTTTAAGAAGAGAAAATAAACAAATAAACACATGGAGTTGCTACCATAAAGACTTAGTGCTTTATTCATAGCTTTCAGTTCAACAAATTGTGATGTTGTCTGAGGCCTTAGGAACAAAATGGTTAATTTCGTTTTCAGCATTGATCACATTGAACACTTTCTAAATACGTAACATTATCCTGGGGCCAGTGTGTTATAGTTCTTGCATGTTCTCTAAAGGAATCAGGCAAGAGTAGTGCAGAGCACACTCCAGCCAGAGCTTCCCTTCAGGTCAGGAAGATCAGGAGGCTGTCAGGGTTTCTCCTCTGCCGTAAGGCACACTTGATGCCATCAATTTATTTTCATCTGACACGTCAGACTGTGTCCCCCTTGCACTACAAAACACGCTTTTTTGCCTTTGATTTGAAGATTGCTCTTCGTTGGGAATTAATAATGTTAATTCTTCATTTGGATTGTAACACTTTTGTAGCTTCAGAGAAGTAGCTGAACTTCGTAAGTTAGCATGATTGATGGTACAGTGGAGTAAGTGACTGGAAATAAATACCTACTTTATAAAAGTAACTAATGAGAGGTGGTAACGTGCAGTGGTAGAGTGTGTGTTTACCATATATGAGGTCCTGAGTTCAATCCTCACTATCTCCCTTAAGAAATAAAGTAACTAGAAATTTTATTTAATTCTTTTTTATATTAATTATACTGATAAATATTTGTAAAGCAGCAGCAAACTAGTTTCAGCTGCACTGCAGATACTTTGAGGGGGAGAGTCCATCTCTCAGAACTGCTCTTTGCTAAGGGGGTGATTTTTCCATCTAATCACAGCCTCAGGACATTGCCCATTTCTTGCTTTTACTTTGCCCCATCACTTCTCCTACTTCTCTCAGGAACTGTATTGTGACCACTCTATGAAGCACAAGACTTAGACTTCTGTTAAAAAGCATTAGCCAGAGATCTGCAGTAAACATGAAGACACAAGTTGCATTTTCATACAAATAAAGATGTCTCTTAATTTCTTTCCTAAAAAAATGTATCTTCTAGTATGTTTGCCAGTGTTTTAGCCTTGAGGTCAAAAACTATTCAATCTAACTGTGATGGCATTACATAGTAACCAAGTTCATTAAGTAATTGCAATGGACTTTGAGAATTATAACCTAAACTTAAGAGAACCAAAATTACAGCTCTATCTTAGAACAAATATAAATCATTTCCGCAATTTTCTGGTTTTGACAGTAAGAATGGCACAATTAAGAGCAAGTTAAACATAAACTTATTCTTAGATGGGCAATTAACTATGAAAAGATATAGGAAAAGTATATTTTTTAATTTTATGAGGTTTTGAAATAATTAAAAAATTGTAATGCTTTAATGTATAATTTTTTCAAAACGGTAAACACTAATGTTGTTTGTTTTCAGATCTAAATCATGTAATCAAAGCAGTAATTTACCACAATGCTAAATCATTTATTCTGGCAATGAGATAGTGTTCTTTTCTAAAGTACTCTTTAAAATTTAGTTGAACCTTAGGTCATTTTATACCAAAGGCAAGATATCCATTAACTTTTTCATTATTATAAAATGAGGTAACATAAAGCAGTAAGTTTCAGAATGATTGGGTTACACCAATAACAGATGGATTATAATTCATGAAAAACAAAGTGCATATGTAGCACTTTAAATAAACAATGCCTAAAAATATTAATATAGTGGATAAGTGTCAGTTGGAGGGAGGTCTAGAGCATCACAAACGTCAAGATTAGGTGTACAAGCTCTCTAGAGAGGTTGATATATTTTGATTTGGAAATTATCATACTTCCATTTCATCACTACTCTTCACAAAATATAAAATCTTTTTAAATTTTAATTTCATATACTATACACATACATACATATATATTCTACAATCAAAAAAGTAAGATTTTTTTAACAAATGCTGAAAGAAAAATGTAATAGATAAAACAATGAAACACCTAATACTCTACTGTATTAAGATAAACCCAGGACTCTGGTAACCGTGAAATTTCTAATGATATTACTCATGGTGAATTGGGACCTTATAGTGTTGGAAGAACAGGTACTAGTCATTGTGACACAGTAGCTATTTGTTATATGGAAAAATGATGAGGAAAATGGAGACCAAAGTTTTGCTCTAGAGAATTAGTTCTTTGGAAAAAATATAATGATAGAGTGAAGCCTTTAAACCACTGTATTACGGCTGAGTAAGAAAGGCAGAAGACTTGCTTGGCCCCATATAAAGAGATTCTCGTCCTTTGCAGAATTTCCTCACCAAAAAAGTTTTTTCTTTTATTTTAAAATAAGACATTTCCTGTTCTATTTAAAGTCAGACCTCGTCTGAAATGTTTCCAAGATTAGGACCCTACTTGCGGTGAGCAGAAGGGCAAGGCAGCTGATAAACAGTTAGTGAGAATCTTGAATTCCTAGACGCCCCTGAGCCCTTCGAGTCCTCAGAAGTGTCCCGCTCCTCTCTGTGAAGGGATGATAGCACCTCTCCATCATGGGAGGATCACAGAGTGTCCTCTACCCCACGGGACATCATATGTCCTTCTCAGGAGCTGCTCTTATCTGCCCTCTTGATCACAAGCCAATAACAAGAGTAAAGTCACACTGCAATACAGTCAGCTATAAGCTGGACCTACTAAGGAAAGACAGTATAACTCAAAAGAACTGAAGAACACATGCAAAATTTATTAGCAGGAACTGGGACATTATATATGGAATTGTACACTGAGGGACAGGATTGAGGAAAGTCAACATAAAGGTGTATAAGGGAGCATTTTTAAATTTTTCAAGCACTCTCTCAGGACACAGTATAATTACTACCTGCATTCAGACTCCAGGAGATGGTGGGAACAGACTACCATGATGTCTGTAGAAACTTGGCAACAATGATGGTCCTCAGGAAGTAAAACTGATGTGCTGGAAATTTCATGACAACAGTGGAAGAAGGAACCCAAAGGCTTAGGGTAGTAGACATATAAAGATTGATATGCTATATATGTCTGTAAAATCTACAAAATGAGCCTTTACTCAAGCTATAAGATGTTCAGGGCGGTTGTCTACTGAGGGGCAGGACTGTTAGTGGTTATAAAACTTAGCTCATTATGTTAATTAAAATCAAATACAAAAATAACAGAGACCAGTAGATAGCCATCAATAAACAGAAGTCAGGCGGTCACAGTGATCACGGTGAATAATAAGGGGGGTGGCAGCCAGGCAGGCTTAACCCATGAAGAGCTATGGATATGGTGATAGAGCAGGCATCCCTAGAAACAGAATAGACAGGCGACCAAGAGGGAATTGCTGTGTCCATACTATCAGAAGAGTTGAAAGTCAGGTCTCAGAGTTAGAGGATAATTGTTTCCTTAAAACCATATTCACTTGAGAAGTTTTGGGACCTGCGGGTTGTCCTGATCCACTGACTAATGAAGGGACTGGGTCTATCAGAGAAAGAACCTTGTGACATCACAGTAAGTGTACACGTTAATGATTCCCTCAAATCCTTCCCAAAATGACAACAGCATCTTGAAACAATGATGATGTTCTCAGTCCCTAAATGTATACTTGAATACATTCACTTTGTCGAGGGCACAACCCCCTAATTGCACCACTGGCCTGTGGGATGAGGGCTGTCACAGTGGGAAAAGCCAACTAGAAGCACTCTGTATCGGGTCTCTAGGGCTGCTGTATCGAATTACTTCAAATTTGATAGCTTACAACAGCAGAAATTTGTTTTTCCACAGTTCTGGAGGACAGAGGTCTGAAATCAAAGTGTTGTCAGGGTCCAGATCTCCTTGAGTGTTTGGGAAAGTGTTCATCCCATACCACTCTCTTGGCTTCTGGTGGCTGCTGACAATGCTTGTGTTCCTTGTCTGTAGCTCTCTCCAATCTCTGTGCCTGTCTTCATGTCACATTTCCTTTTGTGCTTTGCTCATCCTCCTCCATCTTCCTTCTCATAAGGATATCTGTCATTGGATTTAAAGCCAATCCTAAATTTAGTATGAATTTATCTTAGGATTCTGAACTAATTACAGGCATACCTTGAAGATATTGTAGATTTGGTTCTGGACTACCACAACAAAGCAAACATCACAATAAAATGAGTCACAGAAACTTTTGGTTTCTCAGTGCATATAAAATTACTCCATTTTAGTTTCTAAAGAGTGTAGAAGCATTCTGCCAAAAACCAATGGGCATCCACTAGTTTAAAAAATAATTTTTGCCCTGAAATGCTAATCATCATACGAGCCTTCAGTGAGTCACAATTTTTGCTGGTGGAGAGTCTTGCCTCAATGTTTATAACTAGCAACCGATCAGAGGTGGTGGTGCTTAAGACTAAGGGGGCTGTGGCCATTTCTTAAATGAGACAACATTGAAGTTTGCCACATCAATTGACTCTACCTTTCACGAATGATATCGCTATAGCATACAATGCTGTTTGACACTATTTTATGCCCACAGGAACTTCTTTCAAAATTGGGGTCAGTCTTCTCAAACCCTGTTGTCACTTTGTCAACTAAGTTTATGTCATACTCTAAATCCTATGTTTTTACTTAACTATCTTCACAGCATTTGTACCTGGAGTCGTTTCCATCTGAAGGAATCACTTTGCTCATCCATAAGAAGCAACTCCTCACCTGTTACTTCTATCATGAACTTGCAGCAACTTAGTCACATAGTCAGGCTCCACATCTGATTCTAGTTCTCCTGCTGTTCCTGCATCATTTGCAATTTCTTTTTCCACTGAATTCTTGAACTCTTCAACGTCATCCTTGAGAGCAGGAATCACTTCATCCATACTCCTTTTAATGCTTCTATTTTGACCTCTTCCCATGAAACATGAGTGATCTTAATGAAATCTAGAATGGTGAATCTTGTCCAGAAACGTTTCAGCTGACTTTGCCCATAACCATCACAGGAATCACAATCTATGGCAGCTACAGCCATACAAAAGTATGCCTTAAATGGTAAGACTTGAAAGTTGAAATTACTTTTTTGGTCCCTGAGCTATGGAATGGGTATTGGGGTAGCAGACACGAAAACAACATTAACCTCATTAGACCTTTCCATTACAGCTCTTGAGTGACCACGTGCATTACCTAGGAGCAGTATATTTGAAATAAACTTTTTTTTTTAATGAGCAACAGGTCTCAACAGTGGGCTGAAAATATTCAATAAACCATGTTGTAGGCAGATTTGATGTCATCTAGGTTTTGTTGTGCCATTTATAGAGCTCTGACAGAGTAGACTTAGCATAATTCTTAAGGCCTATAGGATTTGAGCCTTGAGAAATGAGCATTGGCTTCAATTTCAAGTCACCAACTGCATTAACCCATAAAGGAGAGTAAGACTGTCCTCTGAACTTTTGAGCCAGACATTGATGTCTCCCTTTTAGCTAAGAAAATCCTCAATGGCATCTTCTTCCAACAGAGGGCTGTTCCACCTGCATTGAAAATCTGCTGTTGAACATAGACACCTTCATGAATTATCTTCGCTAAACCTTCTGGATAACTTGCTGCAGCTTCTCCATCAGCACTTTCTGCTTCATCTTGAACTTTCACGTTGTGAAGACAGCTTGATTCTTTAAACCCCATGAATCAACCACTGCTAGTCTCAAAATTTACTTCTGCAGCTTCCTCACCTCTCGCAGCCTACATAGAATTGAAAGGAGTTAAGGCCTCACTCTGGACTAGGCTCTGGCTTAATGGAATGTCATGGATGTTTCGACCTTCCATCTAGACCACAAAATACTTTCAATATATCAGCAATAAGTTCTTCATTTTCTTATCCTTCCTCTGTTCACTAAAGTAGCACTTTTAATTTCCTTCCAAAATTTCTCCTTTGCAAAAAAAATTCTTTCTTTGTTGCAATAAGCCTTGCTTTTGGCCTGTCTCAGCTTTCCACATGCCTTACTCACTAAGCTTCTTTATTTCTAGGTTTTGATTTAAAATGAGAGACTTGCAAACTCTTCCTTTCACCTGAAAACTTATAGGCCATTGATGGTTATAAATGGGACTGATTTCAATATTTTTGGTCTCAGGGAACAGGTTGCCCTGATGAAATGGAGAGAAACAGAGGAATAGCCCATGATGCAGCAGTGAGAACACATAATATTTAACAATTGTCAGCCATCTAATATGACAGAGGTTTTGTGGTGCCCTCAAATAATTACAATAGTAATGCCAAACATTAATGATCCCAGATCACCATAACACATATAATAATAAAGAAAAAGCTTGAAATATCTCAAGAATTACCCAAATGTAACAGAGACACAAAGTGAGCAAATACTATTTGAAAAGTGGTGCTGATAGACTTCTTCTAGTCAGGTTCCACAAACTTTCAGTTTGTAAAACATGCGGTATCTGTGAAGCAGAATAAAGCAAAGCACAATAAAACAAGGTATGCGTGCACGTTGCAAAGTCTCTCCATTTAAGGTCAAGGTCATAGGATCTGGGGTTAGCACGTAGACATATTTGGTGGTCCACTATTCAACCCCACCCACTCTTGGAACAGCTTCCTCTCACCACCCTCCTGACCCCAGCCAAAACAGGAACAGAAAATCACATCATGTTTCTGGGGATGGTGGAAATGAAAGATCTTAAATATTTCAAGGATGCAGAATGATTAACTCCAATATATCTGGCCACTGCAAAACCAACATTTTCTTCAAATTGATAGTATACTTGTGCTAACTCATCCAAGACAACACTCCAATCTCATCCTCTGTGCCAGATGTGGTATCTCTGCTAGAGAAGATCAGGCATCTTCAGTACAGAGTGAGGCCACTGCTTAGATGGGCGTGTTCTCCACCATCCCTACCAGAAAAGATGTTTAGAAATGGTTGTTGTTCACTTGGTACAAACAGCACATATTTCCTCTTTGACATCAGGACTGTACTATAAACGCTTTTTTTTCCATAAACTATTACCCACAAGATATAAATTACCTGGATATCCTTCAGAAAATTGTACTGACTGACTGTATTGATGACATTTTGCAAATTAGACAGGATAAGCTAGTGTCTAATATATTGGAAACCTAAATATGACACACATGCTGTACAAAGTGTAAGATAACCCTATGAATATTCAAGTGTGATCTCAATAAAATTAATTGAGGTCTAATGGTCAGGTGTATTTGAGGTCATTACTTCAAAAGGAGAATAGATTTTTGCATTTTGCCTTTTTTTTTTAACAAGGGAAAAAGAAACAGTGATTTTTAAGTCTTTCAAGAATTGGGGGAAGAATATATATATTCCATTATGGGACAAATATGCTACGTAACTCAAAACACTGCCAGCTTTGAGTGGGACCCGACAAGGAAAGAACTCCACAGGAGGCCCACGCTGTGATGGGTTATAATATTATGGAGATCTTTTAGTATTCTTCTACATTTCTTCACTTCACACTTTTCAATTTTTTTTTTTCTCTCCTCTGACTGGAAAACTTCAAATGACCTGTCTTTGTGTTCACACATTCTTTACTCTGCTTGATTGAGTCTATTTCTGAGGCCCTGTATTCATTTTTCATTTCATTCAGCAGATTCCTTAGCTCCAGGATTTATGGTTCCTTTGTTCCCTTTTTCTTCTTCTTGTTGTTCTTAATTAAGCTAACCATCTTTTTTTATTATTTTTCCCACTTTATCTTTAATATTCCTTGATTTCTGTGTTCAATCTCCTATTTTGATCAGGTCAGTAGTGATGTCTTGTTGTCATTGAACTGCATTTCCTTGCCTCTGTTTTCCCATAGCTTCCTCAGCTTCCTAAAACATTATTTAAAATTCTTTTCAGGCAACTTATACATCTGTATTTCTTTGTAGCTGTTTGCTGGAAAATCCTTGCGCTCCCTTGGTGGTGTTGTACTTCCTTGATTTCTCATGTTCTTCATAGGCTTGTGTTGGAATTTGCATGTAAGTAATCAGTCACCAAGTCCAGTCTTTACTGACTGGCTTTGAGACACAAATACTTCCACCCATCAGTCTGACTAGACATTCTGAGACTTCCTCAGGTGTTTCTGTGGATACACCTGCTCCACGTTTCTTCTCACTTGAGAAGAAGAAATCCTCCAGGAATATCCTCAGATTAAATGCCTTCTTTTGAGTCCACATTGCCGATCTGAGTGTTGGGGTCCCCCCATTGCTTTCCCTAGAGCAGAGCCTGAAGTGCTCATGCTTGTGAGCCTTCTCCTGATCCCAAAGACTTTTTACTCTAGTTTTGTGCACGACTTGAGGAAATGTTCCAGCTTCATCAATTTACATGCAGCTGCCCAGATTTCTCAACACCACGTTTAAAAGTGTTTGTCTTTTTTCCAGTGTATATTCTTGCCACCTTTGTTGTAGTTTAATTCACTGTAGGGGTGCTGCTCTTTAAAAAGTTTTGAAACTCTCATTCTGAGCATTTTTTTCCTAACTCAGTGTATTGACTTCTCAGCCTTTTTTTTTTTTTCCATCAAAGTAGTTTCATTTCTTTTTAATCCGTAATACAAAGTAAACACTTCAAAGTTCAGCCCAACCTAGTATAAACTGGTTGGGCGGGACAAGGAAATGTCTTTGTACTGTGAGTCATGCACTTGGTTTAAGCTCTGATCTCCTTTCAGCGAGAGTTAATCATGAAGACTGTGAAAGGCTTCTGTGTCCTTTTCATGCTGCATCTGGGTTTCTTTGACTCTGGAAGGGCTGGGAAAGTACTTGTATGGCCCATGGATTTCAGTCATTGGATTAATTTAAATGTGATTCTGGAAGAACTCCACCGTCGTGGGCACGAGATAACTGTCCTGGTACCTTCACCAAGTCTCCTGCTTGATCATACCAAGATTCCCTTTAATGTGGAGATCCTCCAACTTCCGGTAACTAAAGAAACTCTCAGGGAAGAACTCGATACAGTTCTCTATTCAGCTTCTTTTGAACTGTCAAATCTCTCCTGGTGGGAAATGAATATAAAACTGATAAAAATAGGCCAAAATTTTTTTAGAACAATCAAAAGAGTATGTGACAGTGCTATCACAAATAAGGATTTACTCAGCAGACTACAGGCAGCTAAGTTTGATATCTGCTTGGCTGACCCTTTAAGCTTTGGATGGGGAGTTAGTGGCTGAGCTCCTCAATATTCCATTTATATACTCTTTCCGGTTTTCCTACGGGAATGTCATTGAGAGATGGTGTGCTGGGCTTCCGATGCCTTCTTCCTACATTCCTGGAAGTACATCAAGACTGACAGACAACATGACTTTTGTACAGAGGCTGGAGAATTGGTTATTGTATACATTAATTGATATGCTGTATTCTTACTATATATTTCCAGAATGGGATGCGTATTACAGCAAGGTTTTAGGTAAGAGAAGTTTGCATGTAATAACGATTCTTATTTCATATATTAAATGTAAATATTTGTCTGACTGTATGAAAACTTACAAAAGGGATTTTAGGGAGGACCCTAGTTCTTGTACCTCAACTATTTTGAGTCGAAAAAATACTAATCTTTTCTTATTGTATTTTTTTCATGATTGAGTACTGACACCATATCAGAGAAGACAATATTCTCTATATTCCTAGGTCTTGTTTAATGCTACTAAGATTTTTGGAGTATTTGGAAAAATCAAATATGACATTGTCTTTTATTTCTATAACTTCAGTCTACTCTCTTGTTTACTTTTATACACCTTGGTTCCTTTCTGATTAACTTGCTCTTTCTCAGACTTTCTGTTTGCCTCCTATCAAGGCTTGGTTGATTGGTTTCCAGACTTGGCATCTGGTAAGCATGAAAGTAGAAAATAAATGAATGCAGCTTGGTTTCATATGTTCTTGCCTTTGAAAGGGCAAGAAAAGGAAGATTTTTCTCAAAAGGACCATGGTTCTAGATTTTTAACTTACCTCATTGTTTTCTTGTTGTTGTTCTATGTAAAATTGCATTAGAGTTCAACTAGAGAGCTTTGACCCTGAGCAAAAAATTTTTTTTTCTATTTTAGCAACTCTATTTACTCTTCTTTTTCCCTTTTGCATAATTGATTTTTTTAATTATAAAATTTTTATATAATTTTGTTGAGGAATTTTTGCCTAAGAGGCTAGTTATCTCTGAGGAAGCATTACCCTGCTTCCCTGCTTACATTATTTAGTTAGATTTTTTTAAATATACTTAGCTATATAACACTGTATTACCTTCAGATATTGACAAAAAGTTATTCAATAGTCATCCTACAAAATAAATGAAAAATTTTATTGGCGTCAACATGAGGATTATAATCCTGGAGAGAGTCTGTCAAGAAGCTGTAAGGAATCTTCTGCCCATTAGAACCACAGCACAGTTATATAAGTTTTTGAGACAACAGATTATACAACAAAAGGTTTTATACATCAAAGCAATATTGACAGTTTACAAGTCCATAAAGGCATGTAGTGGGTCACTATAACCCCTAAGGGATTAAGGGAGTAATATTATCTTTAAAGGTATAACTTGCTAGCATCAGTACAAAATTGCTTTTTTTGGTGAGTATGTTTTCCTGTGTCTTCCAAGGGGATCTAGTTAATGTACAATGCAGATGCACAGTGCACAGTAAAAGGGGACAACAGGGAAGTAACTCAAATGGCAGAGAAATTTTTTGTAAACGTTTTCTTCTCCTGCCTTAAAATCATTTTGTTTCAACACAGGTATACAACATAATGATTTTTTTTTGGTATGTATTGTGAAATAATCACCACAATAACACTAGATAACATACATCACCACACAGAGTTACAAAATTTTTTATCTTGAGATAGAACTTTTAAGATCTACACTGTTAGTACCTGTCAAATACACAGTGCAGTGTGATTAACTATAGTCACCATGCTGGATATTACATCTCCTGCATTACTTACTTTAGAACGGGAAATCTGTACAATTTCTCCACCCGCACCTACACGTTGTGCCCAGCTTCCAACCCCAAAATCCGGCGATCAGTTATTGGTTCTCTGTTTCTATGAGTTCATTTTCTTTTTCGATTTGTTTTCTTTTCAGATTCTATGTATAGGTGATACCTTTTTCTTTCTGACTTACTTCACTTAACATAATTTCCCCAATCTCTGTCCATATTGAGACATCTCATTGTATAATAACCATATTTTCTTTATTCACTTACCTATACATAAACACTGAAGTTGTTTCCAGTTTGGGCTATTGTAAATAATGCTGCAGTGAACATGCGGACGCAGGGATATCCTTTCCTTCAGATACATACCTAGAAGTGGAATTGCTGGATCATATGGTACTTTTATTTCCATATTGTTTTCCATAGTCCTGCACCATTTACCTTCCCATTAACAGTGCACACGGCTCCTTTTTCTCCACATCCTCACTACCATCTGTTGTCTCTCAGTTTTTTGTTTTTTTGATAATAGCCATTCTAACAGGTGAGAGGTGACACCTCATTTTGATTTCAATTTGCATTTCCTTGATGACTAGTAATGTTGAGCACCTTTTCATGTACTTGTTGCCATTTGAATATTTTCTTTGGAAAAATGTCCATTCAGGTCCTTTGATAATTTTTCTTATTGAATTGCTTGGTTTTGTACTATTAAATTAGGTGAGTTCCTTATGTATTTTAGGCGGCAACATCTAGTCAGACATAGGGTTTGCAAATATGTTCTCCCACTTCATAGGTTTCCTTCTCATTATGTTGATCATTTCTTTTGCTGTGCAGAAGCGTTTTAGTTTCAAGTAGTCCCATTTGTTCATTTTGAACTTTGTTGTTTATGCATTAAGTTTCATACTTTTAAAAATCTCTGTCAAGGCCCATGTCAAGAAATATTTCCCCTGTGTTTTCTGCTAGGAATTTCATGGTTGTACATCTTACATTTAAGTCTTTCATTCATTTAAGAGTACTTTTATAGTGGAGTAAGATCAAGGTCTAGTTTCATTCTTTTGCATGTAAATATCTAATTTTTTCAGCAAGAATCTTTTAAAAAAGTCTTCCTTCATGGAATATTTTTTGGCCTTCTTGTGAATATTAGTTGGCCAAATACATGTAGGTTTATTTCTGAGCACTTGATTCTGTTCTGCTGTTCCGTGTGTCTGTTTCCATGCCTGTCCCATATGGTTTGGATTAGTATAGCTCCGAGGTATAGTTCAGTGGTAGAGTGCATGCTTAGCATGCACGAGGTCCCACTTCAATCCCAGTACCTCTGGTAAATAAATAAATAAACGTAATAATCCCCCCCACACTGCAAAAAAGACCGGGATTAGTAGACTTTATAATACTGCTTGAAATCAGTAAGTGTGATGCCTCCAGATTTCTTCTTCTGTCTCAGGATGACTGGATATTTGAGGTCTTTTGCAGTTACATATGAAATTTTCAATTATTTTCCTTCTTACTAATTTTAACACCATATATCTCTAATAATCTATCATTCCTAAAAGTTGTGTTTATTCCTAAAATTTTTTAAATTTGTTTGTACTTGTGAACTATTGTTATATATAGCCATTTCCCTTTTTGTTTTTTGAAATATGTTCTAAATTCCCTATGCAACATTATTTTTTCAACAACTCACAAGCACTATGAGTGCTTCTAAAGAACTATGCTGCCCAGGAATATGCCTTATGTTCAGAATGGCATGTGTCATAATCAAAGTGGATAAATTGCGTTGAGACATTTTCTGGGCATTCTGTGAGAGAAGAACATGCTTATTTCTCTAGACTTGACCCTAAAGAAAATGTGCACAGAAGCTGCTGTACCCATCAGTCACCAGTCACTCATGTTCAGAGTCCAAGATGCAAAAGGCAAAACTGAGAATAGATAATTTGAAATCTCATCTTGGTGACATCGTCTGAGTCATAGATCAAACAGTGACTGATCTACAGCTGAATCAAGGTTATTTGTTTATTTCTGATTCCAGCAGTTTGGTACTCAGTGGTGGAACCTTTTTCATAGGGAAGCATTACTGGTAGGAAATAGTGATCATAGTCTTTGATTCTTTCCTAGCTGTTTTTACCGAAGAATGTTTGCAGGGGAGCAGTGTAACAATCTGAGAAAGAAGAATAAAGAATTTGTAAATAGAAAAAAAATTTCTTTACTCTCGTCATACATTTAAAAATGCTGTAAGGTACAGATTGTTATTTGACTATTCAGAATTTAGGATTTTTATTATAAAATCTATTTAAAGTGTGCTTCAAATTCTAAATATATAACTCATAAGTTACACAATTATTAATTGAACCAGTGATAGATATGTTGAAATAATTCAGGAGGAAACCAGTAACAGCATCTGTTTCAAAAAGTTTTTTGAGGAACTCTTTACAATCATTTTGAGGGGAAAAGGAATATTAGGGTAATAGTACTAGGTTAGACTCCAAAACGGTCAAAACCCTATAGTGCAATAAAGACATATTTTGGGAGATGCTCATTTCGACCAGGCAGAATTATACAACTTCACATTCAACTTCAAAGTATGTGAACTCAAAAATCCGCAGTAAATCGATAATAAATGACAAAGTCATACATATGTATAATGTTCTAAATATGTAAGAAATCTTCAAATCATTCATTCCTCAAGAAATGCCCCAGTATAACATCAAATGTGGCACATGCCTTAGAAAATTTGGGAAATGCCTTTCCAAGTTTCGGATATTGTCTCACAATCTCTTCATGCAGATCAAGCATTATTTTTTACCTCTCATACTATATTGTCTTCATTTCAATCCATTAAACATAACAGATTACTAACCTAGGAGTGCAGACTTAAGGAAAAATGGTATTTATATGAAAAAAGTGAAGCAACCATGTTTTCCTCAAATTCTACTCCTAGATTTATAACCAAGGAAAATAAGCACGTGTCCACATAAAACATATGCATGATTGCTCGTAGAGCATTATCCACAAGAGCCAATATGGAAACAATCCAAATGGTCATCAATGATGAGTGGATAAACAAAATGTAGTACAGCCAAACAAAGTATTACTCAGCAATAAAAAGTAAGGAAGTACTGATACACACTACCACAGGGATGAACCTTGAAAACACTATGCTAAGGGAAAGAAGGCAGCACAAAAGACCACGTAGTGCATACTTTCATTTACATTGAATGAAATGAGATTATTTGGAATAGTCAAATAAAGAAAGAAGTAGGTCAGTAGTTGTCAAGGGCTGGGAAAAGGGAAAAATGGAGAATGACTACCAATGGATACGGGCTCTCTTTCAGGAGTAATAACAATTTGTAAAATATAGTAGTGGAGATGGTTTCACAACTTTATGAATATACTAAAAACTACTCAGTTGTGTATTTAAAAGGAAGAATTATACAATGTGTAAATTCTATCTCAAAAAGATGGTGTGAGAGTGAAGCATCACACAATGGGAATAAGATTATACCCAAGGCTGACACCAATAAGCCAATGAAATGGGATATGCACTGAGTATGAAACTGGACTTTGAATACCGCTGTCATTATCAGAATCAAATGCTTAAATTACTGAGATTCGCTTGTGATCTCTTACACAGATAGATTGTCCTGGTCAGTTCAAAATCCCTCACATTTGATAATCAGAACTCAAGCACACTCAGAACATCAAGGAGAATATTCAAAAAGCCATGTGATGGGACAACATAAAGCTACAGAGTCTTCACATTAGTGATACTGAGTGTGTATTTCAAAAGGACGCCAAAACCCTGGATAAGCTTCCTTACACCACAGTAATTGAACAGAATTCAGAAATGAAGCTCGGACTCCAAACAAAGGGAAGTGATTTACTTCTCAGTCACTACTTTCAGTTCTTAAGCTGTTAATAGTCACTACGTTACCATTCAGTTGAAAGAGACCCTTTTTTACTGTTAGTCGGCTAAATGTGTCAAAATACTAAATATTTCACCACCAGCTTAATACACACTGCTATATCTTCCCCAAAGAGGAGAAAAGGCTTGTCCAACAGGAACTTCCATTTTGTGTGGCAATGAGAAAACTGTATTAAAAAATTTCCCTTTAATAATTCATTCCCGATATGATGTAATTAATTGTGACAGCACACTGGAAAACACTAGGGGAAAAGATGGATTCAGTAAAAAGTTGTTTTTGTTAAGAAACTAGAGGTTCTTGGAGCAACAAGGATGCAATAAATTGGAGAAGAGGGTCCTCAAGAAGAGGAGGAGACCCGACCATAGAAGTTTGAGGATCACTGCCTGAGTTTCTTGTTCCTGGCTCGGAGCAGGTGTCCTTGCTGAGCGCGGAGTGGGGCTCAGGCTTAGCTCAGGCAGAAGACTCTGCTGGCAGAGATGAAGCGGCAGGCTTTTGGCTTTGTTTCATGCTTAAATTGGTCTTTGGTTATTGATAATCTCACTATTTGTACTCTTGGGGAAAAGGTCGATGGATTTCACAGAGGTTTCTCATAGAAAAGAAGATGGTGAAACAATTCCCTTATAACATGTCAGCTTATTTCCTCTCTATCATCCTTCATTTTTATTCAGGAAAACCTACCACATTATGTGAGACTATGGGGAAAGCTGAAATGTGGTTGATTCGAACTTACTGGGATTTTGAATTTCCTCAACCGTACTTACCTAATGTTGAATTTGTTGGAGGACTGCACTGCAAGCCTGCGAAGCCCCTACCGAAGGTACTTGAATGTGCTGATTTTGCCTGTTTGAGAGTTTATCTGCTGAAATGATTTCTAGCTCCTTATTGATAGTATTTGGTCTGCCAACTGAAAACACATGCACAGGAATTAGCGGCCATGACTCTCTTACACTAGTAGACTGCAATCAGCAGGTCAGTAGCCTTCCGTTTGTATTATGTGTTATTATCTGGTGAAGTAGTCCCCGTATTTCCTTTCCTTTTTCATACTTCATTAATTCTTTATGAACATGTATATTCTTCAGAAATGATAAACTATTTCCCAGTATCTCAAGAATACTCTGCTGTCATTGAAAATAAATTTCCATGTTAAATCAATCCATCTATCAGAATAGTATATGGTTAATTTTATGTGTCAGCTTCCCTGGGCCTGGGACCCAGCTATTTAGCCAAACATCACTCTGGAAGTTTCTGTGAGGGTGTTTTTGGCTGACATTAACATTTAAATATGTGGACTTTGAGTAAAGTAAATTGCTCTGCATTTGTGGGTGAGCCTCATCCAATGAGTTGAAGAACTGAAAAGAAAAGACTGAACTCTCCCATGCAAAAAAGAGTTCTGCCAAGAGGGCCTTCAGACTTGACTTACAACAGGGACTCCTCCTTGAGTCTTCAGTCTGATGGCCTATTCTGTAGATGTTAAACTTGCTGGCCTCCTAATCATGTGAGTCAATTACTTAAAATAAAGCTCTTCCCTGTCTTCAATTTCAAACCTCATGCATGTTTTCCTTATCTTATTTGGTTGACTTAGCTTAGTTAGTAGCTAAACATAGAATGAAAAGATTTCTTTTTACTTCAGGAAGATTAAATATGCTATTTTTATTTTGGATCCCACGCCTAATTTTTCTATACTATTACTGTCGTTTGCAAAGCATGCATTACAGGAATTCCTACATTACTCACCTGGTCAGAAATTATATGGCTTCCTCAATCCTAAATGTGTTTGTAGAAACTTATCGAATGTATAAATGTGGCTAAATTAAAAACAAATTGAAATTCAGGAAACAGAACAAAGTAAATTGCACAAAAAGGATGTCATTATTCTGACCAGGATTCAGCAGAAAAATGAATGATAATCTTATTATCACCCAAGGCTAAATATGAAATGAAGCACCAGAACTATTTAACATGAAGCAGAAATCAGATATTCTTCATTCGGAGATTTGTGGAGAGGCTGCTGGAAGTCAATAGACAGTAACTAATACAGTCATTCACTTTACAAACAACAAGCTTAAATAGAAATCTGACTCTGCCAGCTACTGCTTTATAGCCTTCAACAAATTATTTTACCTCTCTGAGGTAGCTTTCCCATCTGCAAATGTATACATATACCTTAAGATCACCATATATCTGAGTGTAATGACACATATAAAGAGCTCAACACATGGCAAATGATAACATGTAGCCAATGATTTGTAAACAGAGATACAAACACGCCTCAGAAATGTCTAGAACACACTAGTAGGGAGCCTCCAGTTTAAACTATTTTTAAAATCTTTTATCTCACATAATTTTTAAAGGTTGCTTTCCATTTGCAGTTCTTACAAAATATTGACTATCTCCCCCATGTTTTACAATTAAATCATTCTTAATCTACCTAATAACCAAGGATTTCAGGTCCTATGTTTCATACTCTGAAATGGTTAACATATGAAAAGGCAGAAACTTTCTAATAATTCAGACACATTGAAAAAGTGTGTGGCTAACTTATTTTTGTAAGTGTAAACTTTCATATTACAAAGACTGCTTTCCTCACAGGAGTTAGAAGAGTTTGTCCAAAGCTCTGGAGAAGATGGAGTTGTGGTGTTCACTCTGGGGTCAATGATCAGAAACCTCACAGAAGAAAAGGCTAATATGGTTGCATCAGCTCTTGCCCAGATTCCACAGAAGGTCAGATAAAGTTATTTTTGGAAGAGCAGCTGTTTTAAAATCTATGAGGATCTCCTTAAATATGCACTTTAAAAATGTAAGAAAAGCTACTGATACTAGTATATATTTCACTGAAGTGTAAAGAAAAAATATTAAATGTTACAAGAAGATACTTTGTAGCTACTTTGCTTTAAATGTGGCATTACTGACAGGAAGACATATTGCCGTATTTTCTTTATGTAATGGGATAAAACTAAATCACTCCCGATCTTAAACAATAGGTCAGCTGTTTGCCTAGGTTTTAAGGTTTCCATGAAATCTAACCTCTTTCTGTGTTATTTGTTTTTTAAATCTGTGGCATATACACAAGGTACAACTAACATGTCAGAGAACACAGGACGAGACACTCAAAATTATACCATTGATTCACAGGCTGCCTCGGAAGTATATTTCCTTTTAATTAATTGTTTGGGTCCTTGAACTGACAGCTTAGATTCCAGGAAAACTCCTAAATAGTGATTCTTCTATGTAAACAGTTAAAGATTTAAGTAATACTGTGAAAGATTTATGCAGTTCACTCTATGGCATTCCCACAAACTATGCATTTTTTTTTTTATTGATACCATCCTAGGTTATAACTGAGTGATTGTGTTCTTAATTTGCCAGGGACACTTTTTACCTTGTAGCTTTAGATAAAATAGCTAAAATTATATTCAATTTTAAGTTCGAAACATCATGACAAGTCTTGTGCACATAACCAAATTACTTTCAAAAATCATTTGTGGAAGCAATATCCATTTAAACATCTCATCTAAGTGGCATCTTCATAAAAATATTAAATTGTCAACTGTATTAAAATACAGTGCTTAAGGGTCACATCAAGGTAGATTCAGAAGCACCAAGTTCAGTGGAGAACTTGACTAGTAATTTGTGGTTAATTTTTTTTTTTTGTTTAATCAAATTCAGCCCTTTAACTTCGCAGCAAGTTGAAAGTCTCCCTCACCCAGCCCCATGGCAGCCAACATGTTTTATTTCTGGTGTGATTTGGTGGAGCTGTGCTGGGAAGTAATGACCTTAATCTCCAACTTTTGTTTCTGCACTCTGATTGATGATTGATGCTTTTGACACTGGCCTGTAGGCACAGTTGGCCACAGTTGTTTCAACATCGATTAGCAGAAGTTTCCAGGGATTTTAAAGGATGAGCACTATCGTTTTTCCTTTTTTTCTCTGTTTGGGAGTCAGACAATGAGCAATGGGGCCATTTTTTTGAAACTTCACATACAGTGAAATTTAGAAAGCTATGTGTTATGTCCAGAGAAAGCCACAGGCTGACGAAAGACCTGTGAAGACCTAAAGCTTTTACCTCAGACTGATTCCTGGCAAAGAGAAACTCTTCAACAATTAAAAAAAAAAATAAATGAAACCATAAGAAGGGGAAACTGATTTCTGGAGTTAGAACATTCTAAAAATTCAAATGTACAGTTCTCAGCAAATGTCACAAGGCATACATAGGCGAAAAGATGGTCCAATCAAAGGAACAAAATAGACAGAAACAGTTAGCGAAGGAGCGTGGATTTTGGAATTACCAGAAAAAGACTTTAAAAGCACTGTCTTAAAAATTCACAAAGAACCACAGGAAGACGATTATAAAGAGAACAAATGACATAGATGAGATATAAACAATTGATAAGGAGAAATAAATTCTTTTAAAAGAGTCAAGAGGAAATTCTTGAGCTAACACTTTCAATAATTAAAATGAAAATTTTACCTCAGTGGTTCCAAACCAGACATGAGCAAGGAGAAGAACCAGCAAAATGAAAACAGGGTGACTGAAATTAGCAAATTCAAAGAACAGAAAGAGAAACAAATGCAGCTAAATGAGCAAAGCCCAAGGGACTTGTGGGACACCATCCTGTGCATGAGCAGACACATGCTGGGAGTCCCAGAGAGAGAGAAATGGGCAGGAAAGATATTTAAAGCAATAATGTCTCAAAATACACTGCTTTTAATGAAAGACATAAATCCAAGAAGCTTAGTGAACTACAGGCGGGATAAAGTCAAAGAGAGCTACACAAAGACGTATTAGAATCAAGCTGCTGAATGACAAAGACAATGAGGAAAGCTTCAAAGGAGCAAGAAAGAGGAAAATCATCACATAAAAGTTAGCTTGAGTAAAATAATCAGCCAATTCTCATTAGAAACCTTGGAGGCCCGAAGGCAGTGGGTTGATAAATTCAAAGTCTTTAAGACAAAATTGTTAACTGAGAGTTTTATCAGGCAAAATGTCCTTCGACAATGAGGTAGAAACGAAGGCACTCCCTATGAACAAAAGACAAAGGGCGTGAACAGCACTAGACTTTTCCTGTAAAAACGCAAAAGAGACTCTTTCTGGTTGAAATGAAAGGCTGCTGGACATTAATAAAAAATCATACGATGAAATAAAGATCTGCAGTAAGGGTAAAAACAAAAGCAATCATAAAAGCTACTATTATTCTAATTTTGGTTATAATTCTGATTTATTTTTCCCAGTAGCTTTAAAAAATTCATAAAAAAATTATTAATTCAGGTAACTAGGAACACAGTGTACAAGTACGTAGACATCAATAACAGAAAGGCAGGTGGCGATATACAGGAGCAGAGTTTTTGTTCACTTTGAAGTTAGCGATAAATAGGTCAAAAAATAAATTACAAGAGCATTAGAAAATATTTTTAAATGAATGCAAATACAAATCAAAGTAAGAGATGCAGAGGAACTAGGGCTAACAGGGAATTTTTTTTATTCGAGTTAATTTATAATAGTATGCTAGTTTCAGGTACACAGCAAAGTGATTCAGTTATACATACATATGTATATATCTATAGTCTTTTCCAATTCTTGTTTACTGCAAAATATTGAATACACGGCTCCCTGTACTATAGAGTAAATCCTGGTTATTCATCTGTTTTACATATGGCAGTGTGCATCTGTTAAACCCACACTCCCAATTTATTGCTCCCATTCTGTCTCCAATTTGGTAACCAGAAGTTCGTTTTCTATGTCTGTGAGTCCAACTCTGTTTTGTAAATAAGTTCATTTACATAATTTAAATTTTTTTCAAATATACTTGGTATGTAATATTTGCCTTTATCTGTCTGACTTACTTAACTTACTGTGGCAAACTCTAGGTCCATCCATACATTGCAGCAGCAAATGGAATCATTTCATTCTTTTCATGGCTGAGTTGTATTCTGTTGTGTATATATTCACACCATATCTTCTTTATCCTTTCGTCTGTTGATGGGACTCTTAGGTTGCTTCCATGTTGTGGCTACTATAAATAGTGCTGTGCTGGACATGGGGGTGCATGTGTGTTTTCAAAATAGAATTTTTGTCGTCTCCAGATATATGCCCAGCAGTGGAATTTTCAGATCATATGGTAACTCTGTTGTTCTTTTTTGGGGAACCTCTATACTGTTCTCCATAGTGGCTGCACTAATTGTCATTCCATCCAACAGTGTAGGAGGGTTCCCTTTTCTCCACACCTTCTCCAGCAATTATTTGTAGATTTTCCAATGATGGCCATTCTGATCTATGTGAGGTGATACCTCACTGTGGTTCTCATTTGCATTTCTTGATCTGGAGCACATTTTAGTGTGCCTTTTGGCCATCTGCATGTTCTGCATGTTTTCTTTGAACAAATGTCCATTTAGATCTTCTGTCTATTTTTGAGGTTTTTTGTGTTTGTTTGTTTTTAGTTTTATGAACTGTTTGTGTATTTTGCAAATTAAGTCTTTGTTGGTCACGTCATTTGCAAATATTTTCGGCAGTCCTAGTTTGTCTTTTTGTTTTCCTTATGGTTTCCTTTGCTGTGCAAATGCTTACACAGTTGATGATATCTTGTTTGATTATTTTTGCTTTTATTTCTATTGCCTTGGAAGACATATCTAAGAAAATATTGATATGATTTATGTCAGAGAATGTTTTGCTTGCGATCTCTTCTAGGAGTTTTCTGGTATCATACCTGATATTTGCCATTAAGCCATTTTGAGTTTATTTTTGTGTATGATGTGAAGAAGTGTCCTCATCTGATTGATTTGAGAGGATATGAAAGAAATGTGGCCAAGATGGCACAGTAGGAAGACCCTCAGCTCACCTCTTCCCTCAGGCACCAAAATAGCAACAATTTACACAGAAACTATTCATAAGAAAAAAAGGGAAAGACTAGCCAAAAACATCTTGATATCTACATGATAAAGAAGGAAACTCGACACCTATTTTATACCCATACAAAAATAAACTCAAGATAGTTCAGAGATTGAAATTTTAGAATTAAAACGGTAACACTTTTACAAGAAGACCCTAAGGGAAAACTTCATCACTTTGGATTTTGCTATGATTTCAATAGGTATGACACAAAACAGCAGGAAAAGAAAAAAAATTAATAAACTGAATTACATCAAAGGAAGAGAAATTTGGCATCAAAAGATAATATCAAGAAAGTGAAATACAATGTACAGATTGGGAGAAAATATTTGCAAATCATGCTTATGATAAAGAATGAATGTGCACAGTTTATAAAGAACTCCTACAACCCAATAACAACAAAAAACCAATTGAAAAATGGGAAAGCACTTGAATAGACTTTTCTCCAGTGGAGGCATACGAATGGTCTAAAAGTACACGAAAAGATGTCCAGCATCATTAATCATTAGGGACATGCAAATCAAAAGCACAAAGAGATACTGCTTCACTCATTAGAATAGCTATTACCAAAAAATGGAAACTATCAAGTACTGGTGAGAATGTGGAAAAGTGCGACCTCAGGCATTGCTGGTAAGGGTGCACAGTGAGGTATGTGCTCTGGAAAACATTTCCGTGGTCCCCCACAGAGTTAAACATAGAAGTATCATATGACCCAATAACTCTAATCTTGGCTAAGTATCAAAGGGTCTGAAATCAGGGCCTCAACAGATGCTTGTACACCAATGGTCACAGCAACATTATCTACAATAAAAACAATGAATGGATAAAGAAAGTGTTATATATACACACAATGGAATATTTTTCCACCTAAAAAAGAAAGGGAATTTTGATATGTTACACATGCATGAACCTTGAAGACAATGCTAAGTGAAATAATGCTAAATCAGAAAAGGACAAATACTGTATGCTTCCAGTATATGTGGTACCTAGAGCGGTCAAGTTCATAGAGACAGGAAGAAGAATAGAGGTTACCGGGACTAGGGAGTGCAGGGAACAGGGCGTTATTGCTAAATGGCAGAGTTTATGCTTCAGATGAAGAAGACATTTGGGATATAGACAGTGCTAATGGTTATACAACATTGTTGATCTATTGAATGCCACCAAATTCTAAACATACAATACTTACAAAGATAGAAAGGCAATGCTTGCTTCTGTGTTACTGCCAATGCATTACAAAGGTCAAAGCACTAACACTTTCTTAGTGAGGTAGGTAACATCCCTCCCTTTTGCCTCTGAAAACATTCTTTCAAAAATCTCCTCTACCAGAATGGCCTAGCAACACCAACATGTAGTTGTCTCAGACACAGACTGCCTCCCTCTACTAAATTAGAATCCATCTCATGTTGCTAGCCGATCTATTAGGCTTATTGCAAGCATTTGAAAACATGGTTGTAGCATCCATGGTTTAGAAGCATTCATTACTTAATCACTTAGGGCCTCAGTTTCTCATCTATAACCTGGCGACATCAAACTAGATTAATTCTAAGTTAACTGCCTCCTTCTGCCAGGATGTGATTCTAAAAGTCTTCTAACTGAGTAAAGGCACTTATCTTAACAGGTTCTGTGGAGATACACAGGAAAGAAACCAGATACACTGGGAGCCAATACCCGGCTGTATGAATGGATTCCACAGAATGATCTTCTTGGTAAGACCAGAGAGGAGAAAATTGAACAGAGTTCAATGAGGGATAAGCTAAATGATTTCTCTAAAAAAAAAAAAAAAAAAAATATATATATATATATATATATATATATATATATATATATATATATATTGGACCAATTTGAATTCAAAATAAGGAAAAAATAACCCTTAACATCTTCTTCACCTTTCTTCTGGGGCTTGTTAAGAAAAAATTATTTCGGACAATTGTTAAAGACTGGAAGACACACATTATTCAAGACCCTCATGATAAGTTTACATCCTACTGCAGTGGACTTTCACAGTAAGACAGAGAAGTTGGACTCAACTCTGAATATAAACAGGAAAATTGGGAAATTTATAGCCAAAGAGCAAAATTGGGTACCACTGGGTGGAAAGTTACTAAGAGGAGACATCAGGGACAAAGGGGGCTCCGGGAAAACTGACCTAATTTGATTCTTGCCAATGGGAAGCTAGGGTGGTCAGATATCATTTGAGGGATTGTGAAGAATGACGCAAAAGCTATAAAGGGTGACCGGACATCAAGGATGGTAGAGTCTAGCTAAACTGACTTCGTAGGATTGTTGCTAAACTGGGGAAAGCAGAGATAAACAAAGAATCTCCATATCAGGACCCAGTTGGGAAGACAGTTCAGAGAAACCTGACTCGGGTTTGGTTGTGAACAGAATTTTTGTCAAGCTCTGACATAACTATGGAATTTATAATTCCCCATTGATGATACAATCTCCCTCCTCAGAATCAATGAATGCCCCTTTCGAACAGTCTCACACGGAATTTTGTAGAGTATTGCAGCTGCCTCCTGAATCTCTGTATCCATTCCCTCCCACCTCTCTTCTCTCCTCTCCACTATAACAATTTGAAAAAAAATCTGACATTTCTGTTCACCATCGGCGATATTATGCATGGTTCCATACTAATGTAACATCACGTGCAAAATCCCGTGTTCTTAGAGTACCTCAGGATCTTGCCCTAGTCTAACTTTCTAGCCTGTTATGCCCACATTCTCACATTGAAACTCTGCACATCTCAGCTTCTCTTCCCCATCCACACAAGCATTTGTTTTCTGAAAGCCCTTCATTCCTTTTGATTGATGTATTCTCCCCACAACAACTTGTCCATGGCAACTGCTCCCCATCAGTTCCCTCTGCATAAACCTCAAGGTGTTGTGGAATGACTTAATTGCTAGAATCATTCATTGCTGCTCAGCCTGGAATCATTAGTTGCCACTTTCTTTGGAGCCTATAGGAATATATACAAGGCCACAGGGCACAGAATTGCATAGGAAATGCTGCCTAATTGAACTGGTGACATATACAGCGGTCATTTTTTTTGTTTCTGAAACACGTACAACACAGAATAATGATTTTCTTTTTCTTTTTAGGCCATCCCCAAACCAGGGCTTTTATCACTCACAGTGGAACCAATGGGATCTATGAAGCTATTTACCATGGGGTGCCTGTGGTGGGAATGCCCATGTTTGGTGATCAGCATGATAATGTTGCTCGTGTAAAAGCCAAAGGGGCAGCTGTTGAAGTAGACTTGCCCACAATGACAAGTTCTGATCTGCTTCGTGCTTTGAAGGAGGTTATTAACAACCCTTCGTGAGTATAGAATATATTCCTTTCTGAGAGTCTTACTGCTTTTTAAAAGGAGTAAACTCTTCCATCCAATTAAATTAATTACTTTTAAACTTTTTTTATTAAAGTATAGTTGGTTTACAATGATTTCTACTTTTTGGTGTACACCATAATGGTTCAGTGATGTGCATATAAATGTATATATTCCTTTTCATAGTCTTTTTCATTATAGGATATTATAAGATATTAAATATAGTTCACTGTGCTATGCAATACAAACTTGCTGTTTATCAATTTACTTATAGCCGTTAGTGACTTCAAATCTCAAATTTCCAATTGGTCCCCTTACCGGCCTCCAGAGGGAGGCCTCTGGTAACCACAAGTTTGATTTGTATGTCTGTGAGATTCTTTCTGTTTTGAAAATATGTTCATTTTTGCCATTTTTTGATTCCATATATAAGTGATATCATATATTTTTCTTTCTGTTTTGAAAAAAAATAACTATCAATAATAAGAAAAGATTGTGTCTCTGTAACAATAGCTTAATTTCTTTAAATAAGTTTAATATTTCTTTGAAGTTGCCATCTATTGCCCAGGAACAGTACATGACGAAATTCCTTCATAGAATTTAAATACAAGACAATCATATTTGATATTAACTATGTCCTGCTGATTATGTATAATTCATCAATTTATAAATGTTGGAGAGGGTGTGAAGAAAAGGGAACCATTCTACACTATTGGTAGGAATGCAGTTGGTGTAGTCACTATGGAAAATAGTATGGAGATTCCTTAAAACACTATAAATAGACTTACCATATCATCCAGCAATCCCACTCCTAGGTATATACCTGGAGGAAACGCTAATTTGAAAAGACACATGCACCATGACGTTCATAGCAGCACTATTGACAATGGCCAAGACATAGAAGCAACCTAAATGTCCATTGACAGATGACTGGTGCTGGGGAAACTGGATAATCACATAAAGGAGAGTGAATTTGGGCCCCCATCTGACATCACTTACCAAAATTAACAGGAAATGAACTAAAGACTTAAACAGAAGACCTGAAACCATAAAAAGCCCTAGAAGAAAACGGAGAAAAAGGCTCCCTGAATAAGGGTCTTTGCAACAATATTTTGGAAATGACAGCAACAGCAAAAAAACAAAAGTGGAAATCAACAAATGAGTCTACATCACACTTACCACTTCTGCACAGAAAATAAAATTCTCTAAAAAATGAAAGGCAACCTACAAAATGAGAGAAAATATTTTCAAACGTCATATCTGATCAGCACTTCATACACAAAATATAAAAAAACTCTTATAACTCTAAGCCAAAAGAATGTTCTCAAAAGACCAGAGTTACTGAATAGATATTTTCCCAAAGACATACAAATGGCCCACAAGTACATGAAAGGGGGCCTGACATCACCAAGCATCAGGAAATGCAATTCACAACCACAGAGAGACATCACCTCACACCTGTCAGAAAGGCCAGCACCAAAACACTAGGTATATCCAGGGTGGTGAGTCTGTGCAGAAAGGCACTGCTGATGGGAATAGAAATTGCTGCAGACACTGTGGAAAACAGTATGCAGGTTCCCCAAAACATTAAAAGGAGAACTACTACATTACCCAGCAATCCCACTACCGGCATTATGACTCAAGGAAATGAAAATAGAATATGAAGGAGATACCTGCACTCACATGATCATTGCAGCTCTATTCACAATAACTAAGATATGAAAATAGCCTGTGTCTGTCTATGGATGAATACGTAAAGAAGATGTGGTATATGTTTATCAAGGATTATCATTCAGCTATAGGAATGAGGGAAATCCTGCCATTTGTGACAACATGGCATTATGCTAAGCAAGTCAGACAAAGACAGACAGATACTGTGTGTCACTTTTATGTATAATCTAAAGGGGCGAATGCATAGAAACAGAAAGTAGAGTGGTGTCTGCCAGGGACTAGGGGTTCAGGCAGCAGAGAAATATTGGTCAAAGGATCAAACTTCCAGTAATAAAATGAACAATTTCTGGGGAGCTTTGTACAACATGGCAATGAGCTGTGATCAAAAATAAATAAATTCTCAATATGGAATGGTTACATTTCTGTTATTGTATTTCAAATAAATCTAATAAATATAATCTTGGAGAAAAAAGAAACTATATCAAAATGATAATACTTGCCAGGCTTTGGATAAATACTTTTAATATCAGATAAATTCTTAACTAAAAATTTCATAGACATCTATGAATAAATATTGACATTAGAGACTAAAATAATTATTTTTAAACTATTTCCAATTTTGGCCAATATTGAATGACTTTTCTCTAGGAAGCCACTTCTCAACTTTACATTTCTCTCTTCTATATCACAGCTCAATTTTTTTTGATGTATAATCATTATAACATTATCAAGGCTTACAGCATACACATATTGTCTATGATCACACTTCCCAATACATTTTAGCCCTAGTTTTGTATTTATATGGATTTAATGACGCACCGTTTGTTTTAGTACAGTCTTTCTATACCTGTCAGGTTTTGTTCATACTAATTTTTCATCTGACAAATACTTTATTTCTATTTTTGGAGCTTCTGTTGCTGTTGTTTCCTTGTTCCCTGAGATATAGGCAGATGTACTTATTCCTTAAATTCTTGTGTATTAACAAAGCCCTGCCTTATTTTTCTTATACCAAAGGGCGACAGGGCTTTGTATAAGATTTTTGTTTTTTTGGATCACAATTCTCCTCAGAACTTTCTACATGCTGTTTCATCATTTTCTGCAATTTAATGATTTTTAATTTAAATGATCATGGCACTTGAGTGTGGAAGAATCACCTGCTAACTTCACCCCCTTCACATATCCAAGAAAATGTTTCATCTAGGTCAGCCACCCAAAACCTCAAAACAAAACACTGGCCTGGTCTTTTGTCCCTTGACAGAAGGTAGAGGGTTCGTGTTCTGGCTCTTGCCATTTCCCATCTCACCACTGGCGCTTGCATCCCTCTGTAGCCTGAAGCAAAGATTCCAGCATCTACTCATTCTAGAGCCCTACTTCTTGCCCACAGGGTGACATTAAGTTTTCTGTTTTCATCTGAAATGTCAGGGCCATGAAGATCATGGAGGGAAACCATTACCTGATGCTGTTGAACACGAGCTTCTTGTTAACACCCGCACTCCAGACCAAACCCAGGGAGGGTGGAGGGGTGGGGGAAGGGTTCCTCTCTCACAGACCTGCCCTCAGTGCTGCATCCTGTCACTATCATGTTCGCAATACCACCCTCTCCAAATGGAAGCAAAATGCTGTTTTATCAACCTACATAGTCTACATTCGTATTCTGAATTTTTTAAATGCTATTTCCAATAGAAATTCTTTTTTCCCCTACTCCAATTGTTAATTATGCTATGAAACATGCAACAAATTCCAGTTGATAGACTATTACATTGAAATATCTCTAGAGGAAAGAAATTTTCTTATGTTTTCAGTGCTCTGGGTAATGTCACTTATGACATAATTTATTGCGTAATTATATAATACACTTTTTAAGTATAGTTGATTTACAACATTGTATTCATTATACATATATATTTACATATCGTCTCTTTTTTGATTCCTTAATATATAACATAATTTTAGGTGTGTCATGTCCTTAATGAATTTTTCAAGTTGCTATCTATATATTCAATCCTCAGCTATAAAGAGAATGCTATGAAGTTATCAAGAATCCACCACGATCAGCCAGTGAAGCCCCTGGACCGAGCAGTCTTCTGGATCGAGTTTGTCATGCGTCACAAAGGAGCCAAGCACCTGCGGCCAGCCCTCCACGACCTCACCTGGTACCAGAACCACTGTCTGGATGTGATTGGGTTCCTGCTGGCCTGTGTGGCAACTGCTGTGTTTGTTATCACAAAATGTTGTCTGTTTTGTTGCCTGAAGTTTGGTAAAACCACAAAGAAGAAAAAGAGAGAGTAGGGTTTTTTATTAACGATTTGACTGGAAACCGCGTAGGGTCCATCCGAATTAATCCAGCTACTGATTTGAACAGATTCCTCTCCTGCTCTTCTGGGTTCTTGTCCATTCCTCAGCTTATCAAGTCAACTGCCCAAGACAACACGAAAATGTGCCACATGATTTAGCACTAATGTTTAAAATAATCTATTCGTTGAAAAGAGAAGATAAATAAACACATGGATGTTGCTACCATTAAGACTCAGTGCTTTACTTCATTCACTGCTTTCAGCTGAACCAATTGAGATGCTCTTTGAGGCCTTGGGAACATAATGATTAATTCTAATCTCAGTATTAATCATATTGAAGATTTTCTAAATATGTAACATCATCCTGGGCCGAGTACGTTATAGTTCTTGCATGTTCTCTAAAGGAACCAGGCAAGAGTAGTGCAGAGCACACTCAGCCAGAGCTTCCCTTCAGGTCAGGGAGATCAGGAGGCTGTCAGGGTTTCTCCTCTGCCGTAAAGCACACTTGATACCATCAATTTCCTTTCATATGACACATCAGATTTTGTCCCCCCATAAAAAAACACTCTTTTTTGTCTTTGATTTAAAGATTTCCCTTCATTTGGATACTAAAAGTGACAGTACTTCATGTGTGTTGTAATACTTTGTAGCTTCAGACTAGCTGATTTTCATAAGTTAGCGTGGCTGATGGTGTGGTGGAGCACCCACCCTTTTAAAGTAACTAAAAATCTACTTGATTCTCTCCTACTCCAATTTTACTTACAATATAAATATTTGTAAAGAAGAAACAAACTACTTAGATAGAGCTGTGAGGAAATGCATTTCTCAGAAACGCTCTTTCCTATGGGGGTGATCTCTCCAACTAATCACAAACTCGGTGAATTTCTTCGTTTCTTATTTTTCTTTTACCCCATCACTTCTCCTGGTCCTCTCATAAACTGCACTGAGACCACTATGCCAAAGCACAAGTACTTAGGCTTCTTATTAGCTCGAATCTGTCAGAATCTACAGTAACATGAACACAGTTTGTATTTTAAAAAATAAAGATGTCTTTTACTTTCTTTTCTAAAAAGAATTCAGCTCAGTCTAACTCTGGTGGCCTTACCTAGTAACCAAGCTCTTTAAATGATTACTACAGACTTTGATATTTATAACCCAAACTTGAGAGACCTAAAATTACAGCTCTATCTTAGAACAAATACAAATCGTTCAGGCTGTTATAGGTTTTTGACAGTAATAATGGCACAAAAAATAGCAAGTTAATCATAAACTTATTCTTAGATGGGGAATTAACTATGAAGAGATATAGGGGAAAAGATATATTCTCAATTTTATGAGGTTTTGAAATAATTAAATAATTATACTGCATAAAGTTTTCAAAGTGTAAGCATTAATGCTATTTGTTTTCAGATCTAAATCATGTAATCAAAGCAATAATTTACCACAGTGCTAAATCATTTACTTTGGCAATAAGATAATTTTTTTCTGAAGTAATCTTAAAAATCATAGTTTAATCTTTAGTCATTTTATATTAAAGTCACTTCTTCATTATTATAAAATGATGTAACTTAGTAAGTTTAAGTAAACTCAAGGTTTGTATACCTTGTTAGAAATTTCTGAGTTTATTCAGAAGAACGACCCTGACAAATAAGTAAGTATATTCTATCTTGTAGACACCAAAGCCTTTCTTAAACACAAATGTTACTTATTTAAATCATTTATGAGTGATCATATTAAATATTATTAACAATTTGTAATAATTTTTGGAATGCAGAGGCTAAACATTAATATGTTGTATTTTCCAGTTTAAGTTTTAATAAAAACAGATTTTTCTGAAGTTTTATGACCTCTGGGTTTCCTAGTCAGTTAAAATATTATATTTTAAAGTACCTTATTTTAAAACTATTTACAATTCATATGTGACAATATTTTGAAATTCTGCTCAAGTTTCTTCTGGATCACAACTTACTTGAAAATGCTGATAGGTAGGCGGAAATATTTTGTACATGTGTACATGCATGTATATGTGAATACAAATCAAGTCCTATATGTTATAAATAAAAAATGATTCATATTATTGCATGCTTTGATTTTTAAACTTGCTTGCCTTTTACTCTGAGGGAAGTATTGGTTTCTATTATGTTCTACAAATTTTACCAAAAATAATGATTCACCCGCAGGCTCAGATTTACTATGCTCCCTAAATTAGTGGAAATACAAATTTAAAATAACTATGATATTTTAAAAGGTAATACAGTTGAGACTTAGAAGAATATGCTGCCTAAGGAACAGAGAACACTTAACTTCTGCAATACACACTGAATCGCCACCTACCTTCTGCTTCTCAACTGTGTTTTCTCCCCAGGCTCTTCTTTTCTGAATCCCACTCTGATTTTACATTGTTCTCAATTCTGGCTCTAACCTTAGCCAAAGAGCCTGAGATCCTATCTCTCACTCTTAGTTCCTACCATTCATTTCCCCCAGACAGTCTTTCATACCCTCAGATGGAATCCCCTCATATAAGATGTCAGCAATCCAAATGACACTATGACATGCAAGCACCTATCTTTCACCCTTAAAGCAATTGTCAGACGGTAAAATCATGACTCTTCCATGCAGGGAAGCCACCTCACTGTCCTGGACTACTTCTGCCCTGATTTACATGCTTCAATTTAGTTCCTATCTCCTTTCCAGGACTCCCAGACATAAAAGCTCATCATGCAGGTAATGATAGAGGAGATCCTAAAACTCATGGAGAGTTTTGGAATAAACTAGGTCTTTCTTCCTTTGTTGATGTGTAACTGCTATTTCATCAATAATTACTAGGAACTGAGGGAGAATTCATTCTCCAGGTGTCACGATGGTATCATATTACTTGTGTGAGAGGTAGAAGAAATCTCTTCTGTTTTAGTTAGTGGCCAACTTCCATTTCAATCTTCACAAAATGCAATGCCATATCTCCGGAGAATTTTAAAATTATAAATGTGAATCCACTCATCACTTTTATATGTTTACAAGGCCAGATGATAATGATGCTGTTCCCCAAATAGTTGCTACTCTTAGAGCCTCTAGAAGTCATAAATGTATTATCTGCCAATGATTATTAAAGAACAATTGCCCCACTACCCAATCATGCTCATCCTGGAAGGATTATGAATGTGGACTTGATCATGGACCTGTCCCTCATTCCTGGGTCCATATAATAGCTTGGTATGAGGTGCTACTCATTTTTTTCTTCTTACTGTGAAATATAATGCAATCTTACCTGCATGTTCCATGTTCTTCTTCTGATCATTTCTTAGAACATCTCTCCTCTATTATTTAGTGCCTTTGTGATGCAGAAATTTACCCCAACCTAAATCACAAATTGATTTCAATTAAAATTCAGACAAGATCTCTTTACTGAAGAAATTACCCAGAGTCTATTGACCAAGGTGCTTGCTTTTGTAAACAGAGAAATATTTAAATCTCTAGAGGCTATCAGACTATCACTCTGAACTGACACTAATCTCTGGAGACACTAAACATCACTATTGTACAAAAAGAAGACTGAGAGCTCATAAAGGTCAAGTAATAGGTAAAGATTTGCCCTCAGTTATTCTTACAATGGATTCATTAAGATTATGGAATCGTCTTACGTTACTTCTCTGACCCAGAATGCAGGTACATTCAGTAATTGATAGAATCTCCATTTGGGTCACCTCACCTGGATGTTGACAGCACCATGGTTATCTTCATGGATGAATAAAAGTCTGTTTATAACTCTGGGCCATGATAAGAATGAGCAGCTAACTAATGATTTATGGTTTTTCATTAAGAGTATGCAAGTCTCTCCTCCAACCCTCTTCCCTTTAGTATCCAAGGCAAGTTTGATTACTGATGGCCTGTAACACTTGATGTAACACATGAGATCAATTGGCTTGATTAAATGGCGAGAGGAGTACAAAGAAAACCAACCTTTTTTGTCTTGTACAATTAAAATTCATCATACAAATCTTGGTGTTTCATATCTGGAGACAAATTGTATCCTGTGCAAATAAAAAAGGACCCTGAGGATCTGTGCCTGGAAGTCTCTTGGAACCTCAATGTTCACCTTACTCTCTTTCTCCTACTATAGCTCCACGAGATCTATATATATATTTTTTATTAAAAGCATTATGTTGAATATTCTTTGTGGAGCCCTGTGAGTCTTTTCAATTACCCACACAAGAGATCTTCACAAAAGGCCAAGTGGAATCCACTGGGACTGTCTGGTCCTTGCTCCATAATACATAATAAATCACAAGCACCGTCATGTCTCTGAGGGTTTTTCAGTACTGTCATCAAAAGCTTGGATGATATAGAGTTAATGATCCCTACCACAATTAGGTTAGCAATTTAAGTAGAATTGGAAATATTTTATTTTAAAAATTATGCAGATTGTTTTAGCCCTTCTCCAAGATATGAGGCTTTCTTTACATGCTACCAAGGCAGTTCCTCTGGCTTTCAAACTTAGCCTTAATTTGATGGTTAATAGCCCACACTCTTCCATTATACTCTCCAAAGCATCAGTTCTACTAACATAACCACCTATTTTCATTTTCTTAATTTATTCCCTTATTTATCAAATATATGATATACCACAACTACTAGTATCTTTCGTTCAATGTACTCTCAATTTATCTTTGCTGAAAGTAGTAAAACCTTCACGTTATCGCAGTTCAAGAGCTTTTTGTGTCTCACCATATGATAGAGACCACATTACAATCGGTGGTGAATGATCCAGCTCCAAAATATGACCTTGGTGTCTCTCTCTTATTCCACCCTTGGCACTGATTATAAAACGTTGAGTGCCCTCAATGTGCAGATTCAGAGCTGGAGATTAGTTTGCAGGAAAATTGTTATGGCATGTTCATGGAAACAAACTGTGAAAGTGAAGGGTAGGAAGCAAAACTGGACAGTGGAAAAAACAGAAATAATGCAATTTCAGAGTAAATCTCAAGCAAACCACTGGGACCTCTGAAGCTAAGATCACCTTAAAGAGTTGACCAAAATTAAAATGAGAAGTCTAGGCATTGGACATGGGCCCAGGAAAGATACATTGCTTTAGACTAGATCTCTCTCTTTTAGCAGAGGCAATCCTCAAAGAAAGATGGTAGATAAGGGGTGTCAACTGAAAATCTCATGAGCTGGAAAATAGTTTCTACAGTCCCAGAAAAAGAATCTGGGTAACACATTAAAGCACCTATCATGGGACACTACCAAGACTGAAGGATATTGAAACTCTGCTGGCAATGTTCTGCTTAGAATGCATCCAAATCCTTTTTAAGGTAGATTCTCCTCTCATCTCAAGTCAATAGAATACAGATACATGAAAACAAATCTATCCCATGACATGCATCTTTCCCTTCCTACTTCTAACTTAATGGGAAATCCTGGTAAGATTTTTTTTAAAACTATAACTTACCTGGATTACAAAGGCAATATAGAAAACAAAGTTCAGAAGGTACTTAGAGGATAAATACTTTCTAAGAGTAAATACTGAAGAAGTATTAAAGAAGTGAGAGTAACATAAGGAGTGCTGGAAATGAAAAGATAATAATTCAGAGGTAATATTCTCAGATAAAGGAAGGTAACTAAAGTGATACTCAAAGCATGTCCATGTTTAGGTAGAAAGAAAAAAAATAGTGGGAGTATCTACAGTGAAAAAAACTAAGGCAATGTAAATGAAATGGAGCTAATAAAACAGATGTGAAAATATAGAGAAAGAAATGATTTGAAATGCTCAAATAAATAAGAATAGCTTTGTATTGACACAATTCTGCTTTCTTACTTGGAAAATCCCTATTTGTAAGGTAATTCCCTCTTAGTTTAGAAGCAGTGGCATTTACAATGATACTGGGATTCACTGTGCACACAAACAGACGTAAGGTCATCTAACCTTTTCTTTATTTGCTATCCAAAATCTCTGAGCTGGAGATTAGCTGGCAGAGAGATTACTAGGGTTGTGATCCTGAAAGCAAAGTCTTTAGCTCATTAGTCATTGTGACTTTGCTATGTACCAGTTAATATTAACTACTTATCAGATTCTTTCCTTGATATAAGTGAAAACTATAACTGAAGTTAAGAGAGTTTATGAAGAAGGGTTAGATTTTCCCAAGATGTCTAAGACATGGGTTTCTGTTCTTGTGCTGTATTTTTACTTCAGCTGTGCATCCTGAGGAAAGGTGTTGGTGTGGCCAATGGAATACAGTCATTGGATCAATTTAAATACAATATTGGGTGAACTTACTCAGAGGGGACATGAAGTCACTGTG